CCCATTACAGACCGAAATGGGATCTAGTCCATCTTCAGGTTCCGATCACCGCAGGTCTACTTCCTCATCTCCAATGGTGGTCAGTCGCTCAGAACTTACAGCCAGGCCTCTAGTCCATTTTCAAGTTCCAATCACCGTAGGTCTCCTTCCTCATCTCCGTTGGTGGTCAGATCTCAGAACTTACAGCCAGGCCTCTAGTCCATCTTCAAGTTCCGATCACCCTAGGTCTCCCTCCTCATCTCCATTGGTGGTCAATCGCTCAGAACTTACAGCCAGGCCTCTAGTCCATCTTCAAGTTCCGATCACCGTAGGTCTCCTTCCTCATCTCCGTTGGTGGTCAGTTGCTCAGAACTTACAGCCAGGCCTCTAGTCCATCTTCAAGTTCCGATCACCCTAGGTCTCCCTCCTCATCTCCATTGGTGGTCAATCGCTCAGAACTTACAGCCAGGCTTCTAGTCCATCTTCAAGTTCCGATCACCGTAGGTCTCCTCATCTCCGTTGGTGGTCAGTTACTCAGAACTTACAGCCAGGCCTCTAGTCCATCTTCAAGTTCCGAACACCCTAGGTCTCCTTCCTCATCTCCGTTGGTGGTCAGTTGCTCAGAACTTACAGCCAGGCCTCTAGTCCACCTTCAAGTTCCGATCACCCTAGGTCTCCCTCCTCATCTCCGTTGGTGGTCAATCGCTCAGAACTTACAGCCAGGCCTCTAGTCCATCTTCAAGTTCCGATCACCATAGGTCTCCCTCCTCATCTCCATTGGTGGTCAATCGCTCAGAACTTACAGCCAGGCCTCTAGTCCATCTTCAAGTTCCTCTAGTCCATCTTCAAGTTCCGATCAACGTAGGTCTCCTTCCTCATCTCCGTTGGTGGTCAGTTGCTCAGAACTTACAGCCAGGCCTCTAGTCCATCTTCAAGTTCCGATCACCCTAGGTCTCCCTCCTCATCTCCATTGGTGGTCAATCGCTCAGAACTTACAGCCAGGCCTCTAGTCCATCTTCAAGTTCCGATCACCGTAGGTCTCCTTCCTCATCTCCGTTGGTGGTCAGTTCCTCAGAACTTACAGCCAGGCCTCTAGTCCATCTTCAAGTTCCGATCACCCTAGGTCTCCCTCCTCATCTCCATTGGTGGTCAATCGCTCAGAACTTACAGCCAGGCCTCTAGTCCATCTTCAAGTTCTGATCACCGTAGGTCTCCCTCCTCATCTCCATTGGTGGTCAGTTGCTCAGAACTTACAGCCAGGCCTCTAGTCCACCTTCAAGTTCCAATCACCCTAGGTCTCCCTCCTCATCTCCATTGGTGGTCAATCGCTCAGAACTTACAGCCAGGCCTCTAGTCCATCTTCAAGTTCCGATCACCGTAGGTCTCCTTCCTCATCTCCGTTGGTGGTCAGTTCCTCAGAACTTACAGCCAGGCCTCTAGTCCATCTTCAAGTTCCGATCACCCTAGGTCTCCCTCCTCATCTCCATTGGTGGTCAATCGCTCAGAACTTACAGCCAGGCCTCTAGTCCATCTTCAAGTTCCGATCACCGTAGGTCTCCTTCCTCATCTCCGTTGGTGGTCAGTTGCTCAGAACTTACAGCCAGGCCTCACCTTTCCCTGTTCTCAGGCCCTCTTAACCATTGCCTGGTTATTTCTAACCACAGGAGTTCAAGGTCTTCATGTTCAAGATCCACAACATGGACTGGATGGAGATGCTTGGCAGCAGCTATAAGAACACCGCCACCATGTCTGTTAACAATTCATTGTATTGTGTGACACCAAATTAAATTCTATACACAGCCCAATATATTTTTGGAACCATACACATCCATGTACATAAAACACCTACGTGACAGTTGTCACTCAAACTATTGTCAAACAGCTATGTGTTTGTCCACAAACACAAGTCTAGTATTTTAATACTATTGTTATTATTATTAAACTGTTTTTACGCTTCAGAAAATGTGTAGTTCTAAAATGTATGTAATATATTGAGATAACATCACATCTGTCACCAAATAAATGGTTCCATCTGTCACAAAAAATAAAATGTCTGCATCCTTTATGATTTTTGATGATTTTTTTTTATTCCTTTATTTTCTAAACACATTTATCCCTCATTATTGTGCACTAAAACCATTACTTTTTTTATTCACATGAAAAAGAATACCTTTTTAAAGTTTTGTGAAATTTGATAAAAGTTGACATGGTTGATGTACAAACATATCCCGTCTGTCATACTGTGTTATTCGTGTGGAAATAGCAGTCACATTTTTTGTGAACTTGTTTTATTTCTGAAGTTGATTTGTCCCATCTAAACATGCTGGATTTAGCCTAAAGTTTTTCCAATTTGATTACAAATTTGTTTATCCTTTAAACAGAAAATAGTTCAACTTTGAATAGTTGTAACAAGTTCGATTTGAAACAAAATCCCCTGGTGTTTATCTTTAAACAGTTGCACTACCTGTCATGATGTGTACATTTACACACATGCACATGTACTGTTTTTATAGTATCTGCTAAATGAACTTTGGCTCTTGGTATAAAAGCCACAGAATACAACTGATAACATATGTAAACATCTACTTGTATATAACCAGATAACAGCAGCATGTTTCTGAATTGTACATGTATTATAGTGGAACACTAATATTAAGAGATTATGTTTTTCTGGCTACTGTGTGATTAATAAATGTACATTGAATTAACTTTGAATTGTTTTATAACTTAACTTGATTTAATTTTTTTTTTTAGATGTATAGCGCCAAAGACCGCCTAAGAGATGCTCAATGTGCCTTGCAATGATACAACTTAAAAGCTAAGGCCAATCATGACTTAAAGGGTGTCAGTGGCATATCCAGTGGGGGGGGGGGGGGGGGGGCACTGTGCCCCCCTGACAGATTTTTTTGCTAATTTTTTTTGTCAGCAATGATTTGAAGTGTTTATAGAGTTCTTCTGACATCAATCCTACCAAAGAAAACCCGCTCAACAACCATTACAATGCGCCGTGAAATTGTCCATATAATAATATAGTATACATAATAATGGTAAGTTGGAAGATTTTAGAGTTGTCAACAAACGTAAACTTTAACTTCTTACAACTTAGCGGGACCTGCGAGGAAAAAGCCGATTCAAGTTTTATTCAAGTTGGTTCAACCATATTAAGCAAGGCCATAGGGCTTTACTGATGTTCATAGTGGTCGTCGTGGGTTTCTTCCAACAACCGCTAGTGGATTTGAAGCAATGCATCGATCCTTTGTTGATCACAACACAGGCCCCAAAAATAACCCAACACTGAATTGTACATGGCGGGCAGCGAACTCACAACATCAGCCATAATGGAAGCAACACCACTCTATAAGGTCACACGCATAATTGTGCACGTATGCAACAAGACATACCAAGGACCATAGACCCAACCTTGTTTCCAGTGTGTACGCGTTGCCATCGACTGTTTTACGGATAGCCAGGAAGTATGCAGTGTAGGCTTCGGATCGGTCAGACCGCGCAAGGTATACTTACGTGTAGCCTTTAGTATTCATTGCGCTCGGCGCACGGGCGCCAGCAAAGCATAGCAAACAATATGGACACTATATTAGCATGTATACTAATATTGGATTCCATCACGTTGATAAGAAATATTTAGATACCTTTTTGGAATCATTCAGCGCAGTGAATTAAACCACTCTGGTCATGTGACCACCTTTTGGGCGATCACAAACCAGCAGGTCATCGTAGATGGCTGGCAGGTCGTATCCGGTGTCTCTGTTAAGGGATGGCTTTTGTGTCCTGATTTCGATTGCTTCAAGTATTTTCCTTTACCAGAACTGGTCCTCCCCAGTAATGACTTGGACATGCGCTGTTATCTACAAGATTCAATGTCCTGATTGCCCACAAACATATGTGGGCTAGACGAGCAGATCGCTGGGCACCAGGTTCAAATAACATTCCAACCTGAAGCTAGCCCCTTTAACAGCGGTTGGTGAACAAATCAAAGATCACCAACACTCCATCAGCTTGGAAAATGTCCAAGTCATTACCAGGGAGGACCAGTTCTTGAAGAGGAAAATACTTGAAGCAATCGAAATCAGGACACAAAAGCCATCCCTTAACAGAGACACCGGATACGACCTGCCAGCCATCTACGATGACCTGCTGGTTTGTGATCGCCCAAAAGGTGGTCACATGACTGGAGTGGTTTAATTCACTATGCTGAATGAAGATGTCGCAGTGACAAGAATTTCAAGAATGAGGAGTTAGCACTCTAGTATTGTATTATAGCTCTATGGTCCAGCTATCTTTGGTGCAAATCGTGCTTAGGCTCAGTCCATGCCATACATACATAATTAATACATAAAGTTCAAACAAATTGCTGTGTGTGCATGGGTCATAAAGTGTGTAAAATGAAGTTTTGAACTATTCCGTGCTAGGTAATAATCAGAATTTTTTTAAGACTTTAGGGGAGGGGGAGCTGGACACCGTCTAACTATTGGAGGAACTGTTCAAAGCTGACAATTGTGAACAGTCTCAGACAATAGGTGAAACTCTTCATTGTGGCATATTTGCCAACAGCCACATGATTTTACCGACTGGATGACGATTTGACTGAGTAATCGGGGTGTGACCCAACACATCCCTCCTCTAGTGATGCCTGTGGTGATTCAGTGACTGAGACTTAAAATGCTGACAGAGATCAAGTATTGAGGGAGTATTACACCCACCACAAACCTCTGTAGCTACGTCCCTAACGACCACACAATGAGCCTGTCACTGAAATACCATGTACGTGTACAGTCGAGTCTCGTTAATACAAACTCATTCGGACCTAGCCAATATATATATATTGGCTATATCAGAATTTTGTATTAAGAGGAACATCAGTCCCATTCATTGTGCACATGAATGCACAGTCAGGACTAAGGCTTTATGTTTTTTATAACCAGAATTTTGTATTAACAGAGTTTGTACTAACGAGATTCGACTGTACATACATGTATGTTTGTATCGTTCTTTTTTTTCAGCGGTCTGGTCTGGCTTTGGCATGGGTTTGGGCTACTAGTATCGGCTTATTGTTGGTCATGTTTGGAAGCGCTATGGTTGTGGTAAGTTGGTTTTACTTAGCAGACCTTTTCCTTTCATTTACTTCATGTAACTCAAGGTCACAGTTCTCTCCAAGTCATATCATTCGCAAGTCATTTTGCAATTTTACAATTTATCGGAATACATACAAATAAATGTTAAGCTACTTAATCCCTCCATGATGAGACCTTTTAAAACCATTTGAGTGGTTTTTATCTTCATTCAGTAACAAACAATTCACTAGATGTCTACTCATGCGAGCATTCCCGTGGACCTAAACCACGCACCTTAAAGGTAGCGTCCATCATTTGTAATTTGTGCATTATGATCATTTGAAACAACAAAAGTGCTCAAAATCTAAAGGAGGGTGCTTAACAACTAACCTGATGAATTTTCAGCTCAGCTTCAATTCAGCTGTACATTACGAGAAAAACAGCATTCTAGGATCTCAGTTTCACCTGATTTTGGCCTGAATTCAGTGTTCGAGACACGTTCTTGCTGAGCCAATTGCAGCTATGTGATGTTGTGCACTTAACCGACGAATTATAGCAACCGTGCACGCGGGTGCGTATGTCAACGCTTGTGCACACTTCGCCGAATAAAAAACAAACTACTTACGGAAATTAGACGCATCATTTTATTGATTTCTTCAAAATGACAGCTTGCAGGAAAGAATAATTTCACAGGGAGTTTAGTCCCCATACTATCTTTAAAAGTATGCTTTTCAGCAATAATTACATCAGTTACTTTTTAGATAGCTGCAAATGATGGACTGTACCTTTAAATTAGACTGTCATGCAAAAGACCTATTGGAATGACTAATGATGTACGTGGAAGTGACAGCAGGTACAAATAAAATATTTACAGTATTTGATAATTCCAAGAAAAAATGTTGTGTTTCCTATACACTTATTTAAAAAATGGGGTGAGTGGGTTGGTTAAATTTAACATGCATTTCATAATAGTTAAAATGTGAATCAATCGTTTGTTGTCCATAGAGTACCAAAGTGAATACATCACGTGCACAAAATGTGTGTAAAAGACATTAGCGCGTGATTTAGCGCGTGAACCAACACGCGTGCGTTCTCCATTCGTTTGCACTACACTTTCTGATTCTAAATGACGTCACACTTCGGTACTCTATTTGCTTGTTTCATGGCAAGGCAACACAGCACTGACCAATACAAACAGTTACATTTTTTGTTTTTTAATGCAGTGTCTGCAAAACTAGGATGGGGCTGCACCATACATTTTTATTGGGAGGGGTACATGTAACTGGAAAGAAAGGATTTTTTCCCGTGGCCTAAAATATCTTTTGTGATGGAGACGTGCTGACAGTGTTAAAGCCAATAATAACTTTAAATCATTATTTCTTGAATCTTGATCATTGTTGTCTGCTCTGAAGAGAACACTATATTCCTGTGAAGGAATGCACTTGATTGTTTCTCATGCAAAACCTAAGATAGTGATGCCCAAGCTTATTTTAACAAAATGAATGTGAACTGAGACACATGATTTCTCAATGGATGGTCATGGTTAAGGGTGATTAAGGTTTTCTCCATCTGTCTTTGCAGATCCTCAGGCCTTCAGCTGCAGGATCAGGTTTACCTGAATTGATTGGCTTTTTGAATGGGACATTAGTGAGACACATATTTAATGTGAAGACTCTTGCTGTCAAGTTTGTATCTTGCATCTGTGCTGTATCGAGTGGGCTGCCAGTGGGTCCTGAAGGACCAATGATTCACATGGGGTAAGAGTATTGTCTTTACTATCATTACTCATGAAAAAGTGCAAAATTTACAACACATCTGAAAGATAATTTCATGAGGCTGCGGCATTTGAATAAAATATGCTTTTGCAAAGAGAGGTCAATTGGACAGTTTCCCCCAAGCACTATTTCTACTTTGACGATGCAAAGCACAAACAAGAGGGTGGGCTCTTGGTTACTGCATATATACATGTATACAGCAACTTGTTTGTCCGGATATTTCTTTGCTGGAAATCCTAGTATAGTGCTTACTGGAGTGGTGTTTAAAACAGTGATCACACTGTTCACTGAGGCCAGCTTTGTTACACTTTGGACTGACATTATGGCTTAGTTACAGTACTCATTAAGTTAACAAATTTTCAAGAAATCCTGATATATTTAGGTTCCACAATTCCAAATGAAGCTCTGTGAGGTAGGACAATGAGGCTTGGCTTTATATTGTGACCCCTGCTTTTGGCTGGTTTTTGTCCTGCAGCTCAACCTAGTTTTGGTACAAGACTGGACTTTCATTCCCCCATTTTTCAGCCAGTCCAGTGACATGGTCCAGTGGATACTGTATTTTCATTGGCTTGGATTATAAAAATGCACGTCACACAGGGTGATATCGCTAGCTAGCAATTTTGAGTTATTGGCACGATGTAACTTTCGCCTTAGGTGCTATGCACCACTCGGGTGTTAAAAATGTCAACAATCCAACAAACAAATAAAAACAAAATCAATAAATCTGCTCACACCCCCCCAAAAAAGTACATTACAAAAACCAACAGTTCACATTTGACCATAGAGCTATATTAAATTACTAGAGTGCTAACTCCTTATTCTTGCGCGCGGACACACCAAGCCATCATTGGTGCAGACATGTTGAATTCATGTGCATGTTTGTAGCTGGCATAATGAAATTAGATGGATTGAATTTTTAAAGTGTACTCTAAATGCAACGGGCAAGTAGAACGTACGCAAACAACTTAAGCGCGTCATTATGGTTTTAAAAAAAAATGTCATGGTTAATCGTCTGCAGCGCATACACACGGGTTGCACTGTTTGTGTAAAGCAGCATGACACGCACATTTGTTCATCGTGCATTTCTGTTTTGGGCGTATCAACTTCGGTAATGCACCCGTATAGAATACAAACGCAGATATGCAATTGAACATACAAAAGACGTACTAAATTTCAAATTTTTTATATGTTTGTGCACAAACATGGATGCGCCCAGCAGGCATCACTTTGTACAAGAGTCAGCACTCTGGTACTTATATAGCTCTATGCATTTGACACACTTTATACAGACATGTGATGATGTACCAATAAAAAAAGTACAAATTTTTTTTTGAAATGTCAGGATGGGTGAGTTGACATGGTCTGTGAATTCCTGTGAGTGTTGTTTTGCAGTTTTATGAAATGTCATCCACATATCTGTACCACCAGTCCACACTGGGAGTTGGAGTGCTGTGGCTATAACCTCCATTCTAACTGTTCAATGAACAGATTACAAATGATGGATGAAACTGGCCAGCCCATCGCTGCACTGATTATTGTTCGTAAAAGTCACTTCGTAAACAAGTATGTACATTTGTACATCACAGGCATACTTTGAAAAGCTGGGCAACCTGAGATGGCGAAAGGCATGTCCTTTTATTTGCATGTAGTCCTGTGTCCTGTTCTAATCTTGCTTGTATAAAGGGTAGTGCTTTGTCAACCAGAAAGCAGTTGAAGAGAGTTGTGATTTCATACAATCTCAATTCTTCATCCTCCTCCAACCTGCCATCCTTGATAACATTTGCAAATTTTGGAGTTCTGAGTTGCCCACTAGTGGCCGAAGACTTCTTGCTAGGAACTTGCCACAGTTGTATGTGATGCTCCCTTTGCTGCTTATACTATCAGTCTCAAATAGTACACACTGTATTTATAATGCTCAAAAAGACAAATTATGCAATCTACATGTATTTTATGATGATGATAGTCCGTTTAAAACAACTGAAAGCCACCATTAAATTGAAAGCAAATAAGATACTGAAATTAACCTCGGTATTGTAACACTGAGCTTAACACAGTAAAAAAAAAAAAATTAGCTAAAATACCATCACTGCAACATTCAGAATTACATCAAAAATTATAGTATTCTTCAAGCTTTTGTCGCAAACTCAGCGGAAGATTCTTCTGCACAGGAAATTAAATGGACTTTCAATGGGAGACTTTCCAATCTCCGCGAGTCACCGAGAGAGGGCGCTCATTACCGGGTAAACTACACGAAAAAAATCGTCTGAAGTTACTTGTGTACGTTGCGTATCGACGTCGGTTTTCGACTTGGCTTGCTGTAGAAAATCCCCTGCTTCTCATACAGAATTATGCCAAATACTCCGTGTGCTGTGCCGACGTGTTCAGGAAGAGGTGGACATGAATTTCCAAAGGAAAGAAAGAGGTGTAATGCTTGGCGAGTGGCCATACGACGGGTGAAAGATGACACAGGCCGGTCATGGTGGCCGTCTCTAAGTGATGTTGTCTGCTCGGAACACTTCATATCATCAGACTATCAACAGTTTGGAAAGTCTGGTAAGTTACTTTTTGTCGAGATTTAGGCATTAACGGGCCTCCCATATTCCAAATCAACCATTTATGATTATTAAACCCATGGACTTTGACAACGTTAAAGTTTACTAAATGTTGACGTTTAACTTTGACCTGATTTCCGTACATGTATGATGTAGAGTAGTAGTTAGTACTAGTAGTGGGGTTTTAATCCAACTCTGGGAAAGATTCCCATATCTGGCCACCTCTCATTTTAACCTTCAGTGACCTATTAGCCATCAGAAAGTGATAATATGTCCTTAAGAGTCAAATTTAGCAGAGAAAATATTGAAGTATTTATTGAGAAAACACTTAGAAATGTTCAGACCAGTCTCATAGGGTTTGTGCACAGGGTGTTCAGTGATGGCCAGATATGGGAATCTTTCCCGGACGGATTACCAACTCGGACCCAACCATGACCAACTCGGGACCAACTCGGAACCAACCATGACCAACTCGGACGCATTGTGAGGACATGTTTTCAATCATTTGATTGGAAAATGTTTGACCAAAATCATTGACAATGACAATGATCCTGCATAAAGACGCACTCAAGATACAACCTGAATCACCTAGATTGGGAGACCAGACAGTTTAATAGCTCAATGGATGAGCAAGTTGCACATTATCAAAGTATTAGCAACTTAGTATTCTTGGATGGGAAACAGTTTCATGTATAGTCCTTGGTTGGATGGCCAACTGAGATCAATGTGGCATTAATCTGAGGCATATAGAAGGCTTCCTATGTGTCATCTGTAGGGTCGCGTCCTTTGGATGGGACGTTAAGCTTGAGGTCCCATGTACTAAAGCCGTGTCCGCACTGGACTTTTTTTTTGGAAGGTTTTACCGAGACGATGGTAAAATGAAAAATGGTCAAATGTGACCACTGTCCGCACTTGGACTTTCGACGCGGGAAATTTTACCCCGACCGCGTGGGAGAAGTAACCGAGCTGTCACAGTGTCAGTATAATGACTCACCGTACGCAGAAAACAATTGCCGATCACATTTTCAGCCACCGATATGCTCAGTAATATTACACACGCCATTTGCATGCATAACATAATCGCTTACGCGATATTATTTCATCTTGACACGCTAAATCTTGACGAAAGGGCCTATAATTCTGACGCATTTGTGATGCACGTCGTCGAAGCCATGCCGCTGTACGATGTTCCGTGCGGCAGCAGTGCCATCAGTATTCGTTGGTTCCCATCGCATGCTTACAGAATCGAGGCTATGATGTGGGCCAGGAACCAGTGACTACGGCCTACGTACGGTACCGGACCATGATGTTCCGTGCATGACTACAGTAGCGTATCAGGACGAATTTGGATCGTAGAAAATAACATACATCGGTGGAGAAAGAGAATTTCCGCAAATTAATTCTCAGAATGTGATCTCTCTTCTCTGTGTATGTATTTGTCCGTTGAAATATATATTTTAACGAGATTTTACCGCTCGGACTTGATAATACACCGCAGCGTGTTTCTACAAAATGTTCGGCCACTGCACGTGCAGGTTCGTGCGGTCTCTGTATGCATAACAGGGCGCTCGGGCCGGATGTACGCTTTCCTGAGCCGCTTTTACCGACTCGCACTGTCCGCACTGGACTAATCGTCTCGGGAAAAGCGACTCGGTCAGTTTTCCTGGGCGCGTGGGAAGTTTTCCTGGGCAGCAGTTGGCCAGTAAAAGTAACCGCTGGACTCAGGAAAAGTAACTGAGAGGAAAACGTCCTAGGCTGTCCGCACTGGACTTAAAATGGGAAAAGTACCCATAGTCTCGGTTAGTTTGACCAAAAAAAGTCCAGTGCGGACAGGGCTATAGCCTTATGCATGTAAAAGAACCCAGGATACTTATCGTGAATTAGCAGGGGGGATGGCAGCCCCAATTAACGTGAGTGTATCATCTGCTTCCCTTCATCAGCGCCTTATTTTGGCTATACCAGACATTGCTGCACTATATAAATACTGTGTGATTAGTATTGGAGTAAAACTAAAAGGCAGCAGAACGATTTTCAAAGTGGGGGGGGGGGATTGTGAGACCATCTACCATTTTAGTGATGCTCACTGTGTAGGACCTGTCAAAAGTGAGGGGCATGTCCCCCAGTCGAAAAAGCGGAGGGGGGGGGGGGGATGCCCCCCGGCCCCGCTGCCGTTGATTAGAGTTGGGTCTCCCAAGCTATGAAACACCCATCGTGAGATTTACCCCTCAAAAAGCCTACCAAACATACATACATAAAATGTTCATAATTACAGATTTCTTTTTTATTTTTGCAGGTGTTAAACTGCAACGAAGAAAGTTGAAATCAGGTGCTGTTCCAAGCCAGTTCTCGTGGACAAAGCAACCAACTTCAGCAGTTGTCTCAAGGACGAACCGCTATACAGAACGCTGTGCAAAGAGAGAGGGTACCTGTGATGGGAATTCTGATGAGCTGTCTCTGGATGTTGATGTTGACCTTGATCTGGACATTGCAATGGTGGTAAATGTGAACAGCGAAGAACAAGTACATGACCAGGCCATCCAAACAGACCTGCCAGAAACCCTGCCAGCATCAGTATCTGCACATACACAGACAGACTCTGGGACTAAGGTACAGGGATTTACAATTCATGATTTCAAGAACGACCCCAAAGGAGTACACTACTACACAGGGCTTCAAGACTATCTCAACTTCATGGATGTACTTGCTTCGCTAGGACCATGTGCCTTTGAGTTAACATATGTTAATGGAAAAAGGCCATCCTTATCTGTACCAGATCAACTATTTTTGACTATAATTAAATGCAGGAGATATACAGCCAATTTTGAATTGAGTCGAATGTTTAAGATCAGTGAATCGGAGGTATACAGTATCTTTGCAACCTGGATTAGATTCATGCATCTTCAGTGGAGAGAGATAGATATCTGGCCAGATAGTGACTTGGTCAGCTTTTATGCTCCGTCTGATTTCAAGGCCAAGTTTCCAAGCACTCGAACTATCCTAGATGGCTTTGAATTCCCAGTCAAGAAGCCTAAGGCACCTGCTGCCCAGCAGGTAACATTTTCAACTTACAAAAACCGTAACACTGCTAAAGCACTGGTTGGTATAACACCAGGAGGTTTGATGTCCCACATGTCCGGTGCATATGGTGGTTCGACCAGTGACAGACAGATGATCAAGAGGAGTGGATTAATTAATAAAGTCATCAAAGGTGATTCAATAATGGCTGATAAAGGTTTTGATGTACAGGACTTGTTTGCACCAGTGGATGTGACAGTGAACATTCCTACTTTCTTCAAGAACAAGAACAGAATGACAGGTGAATCTGTTGTAAGAGATAGAAAAATATCTAGCAAAAGAGTTCATGTTGAAAGGATTATTGGACTTGGGAAAACATATAAAATATTGACACAGCCACTGAATCACACAGAGACAATTCTGTCTTCAGACATTGCATTTATTTGTTTTATGCTTGTTACCTTCAGGAAATGTATCATTTCAAGATAGTCACATACCATGGACCTTATTCACGAGGAAGCCATTTTGGTCGTGTTCCCTGAATGTATTTTATAAATTGTGGACTGTTGAATGGGATGGTGCTAGACTATTTGTTTACTATAGCCTCACTTTCATTTTTTTTTAATTTGGCTTCAAACGTTAGGGCATGGTTGATCACAAATTCTAAATTATTCATCAGAGCCGACTGGTAATTTTTTTTTATTAACTTTATGCCATTGCTTTCATTTCTCTTCGCAAGTTCCAAAAATGAAGATTTAACCTCACTTTCAATTTAATATGGCCGATTCGTGAATGAAGCCCATATCTCATAGGGTGAGGACAAAACAAATTTAATACGTTTTTATTAAGGATCAAAATAAATCTGAAATAGCTTTTCACTACAAATTTGTGAGGCTTAACTTTTTGATTGCTGGCAAGAAGTGAATGTATGACGTTATGCAGTATTTAAATAAGGCCAAAAAAAATATTTCTGCTTCCGATTTCATGGCATTTGAAATAGGCTAGGTTACTTTTTTAGGTAGAGAATTTTTTTCTTTGCAATTAGTTTGTTTATATATGTCATACACAAGGTCACACTTCTCACAAAGAAAACAGAGTATACAAGTATAACATGGTGTGAGGGTTGGAAGGCGATATTAGTTCCCCTCGGTATTGGAAATTGAGAAAATATATTGGAGGCTATTTCCACATATATGTACAATACTTGGTCACTAAAGTGTGCCGTGCATCTAAAAAAAGTACAACAAATAGTAATATTTCTCTGTTTATATAACTTTAAAGTGTGGAGATAGTTTCTCATCCCAAAGAACAGTTTTCATAGTTATTTATTTTCAAAAATAAATCAAATAAATAAAGGTTTATCAGGAAATAGAAGAGTTGTAACCCCTTATTTCGGTGTCCTTATTTTTTTACTCAAATTAATTGATAAAAATTAATTCCTGTGTCCAGTGGTCATAAATTATCTCCGTTGTCTCTTACCATGTAAATACACATGAGAAACAATGAAAACATCAAAGGTATTAAAAAAGAAGCTTATTTAATCATCCAATTTTCTCAGGATTCATGGTTGATTCAGGAAGGTTTCAAAGATAAATGCCTAGGGAGTTGGGTTTAGAGACAAAATATGAAGCAATACTTATACTAGCAATAATAGCTCATACAAAAGTATGGTTTGAACTTTAGTGTACATGAGATCTACATTGTACACGTACATGTATATTTGTGATGTATACATGTACATGTAGACATCAGGAATAAAAGATGATTTTCAGTAATATCAGTGTTATTTATTCCTCCATCTGTGTAGAGCAAAATGTGTACTTGTCAGTTTCCCTGTAAAAATACTTGTCTAATACTGCTTTCCTAAAGTGATGATCAAAGAAGTACTGTAATTTTGTTGTTGCTTCTTCGATGAATTTATTATTGCGTTGAATTCGCATTATTCTCACATCTTTAAATGTCCACACTATAAAATCACACCATTGTCTGTCGGTACAGAGCATGTTCCCCTGAACTTGATAATAGTAGTTATGATTCTCCTTCAGAGCCAATTCACCAAAGACATCATATTTCAAGTAAGGAACATCTGCTGGAGATATTTCAAGATCTTTACAAGTGTATGGACATTTGACCTCAATAATGCCCTCCCTGCCTACAAGACCATCTGGGGAACAACCCAAGAATGGGTGCTCTGCACATACGTGTATGCCACAACTGTCAACCTTGTTACCTGTTTCAGTGCAATAGTCTTACTGCAATAGACTCATATTTTTTCCCATGTTCGGTGTATTTACTAGTGAAAGTCTCAGTTTTGGTGAGTGACTGTGCCATTTTAGTCAAATCTGTTCTGGGTCCTGCCTTACAAATTCTGCCGAAGTTGGAGGCATGTAGACGCTTTGTTCTCTCTTCTGTCCACACTTTATTTGCACTCTGCCCTCGTGTAGCCTCTTCGGTCATTGCACGGGTTTCCTCACTGATGGTAATCACATCCAATTCATCAAGAAAGTACTCTTCAAGAGTTTTCTCTAGATAATCATGGTCATTATTGATGGCCATGATGTTTGCTGGTGCATATACTTGCCGGATTGGTAGATCTTCTGTTTGAGAGTTGAGCCAGATGCTTCTGAATGAATCTGGATACCCAGGCCTATTTCTGAATTCAACCGGCCTGGGATCAAAGTCCTTAAGATCATGTAGGTTGTTTTTTTTGCGCAGCTTCAAATCCTTCATCAAAACTGGTGTGCCAGTATATTTCTTTTGATGATGAAATGTCTGCAGCTTTGCAGTACATGTGTCCTTGGTTATGATGCCCTCCTTTCTTTTAGAAAGAGCAAAAAGTACTACAGCTACATGCTTGCAGTGGGCCTCCGGTCCCAAGCCAAAGCACATTCACATTGGGACTCTTCAACCACTCCATGTTTGTTTATCTTTATATCGACCTTATATATCACCTTTGTTTTCATTTCCGCGGAAACTCTGCCAATGAAGTACACGGTTTCATCTTGGTTGCAGTAGCGTACTGACTGCAGAAATTTCCCGTAGTAGAGTGCCTCTGTCTTCTCTTGCAAATCTTGCCCATGAAGCTCGTGAAAGGTTGTGATGCTATCTGCTGTTACCACTGGAATCTGAAATTTGACAAGATGACAGTTGTGTAAAAACCAAAACAATTCAGCAGAACTCAAAGGAAATTAAAAAACAAATATGATAAGCCATTGTTTTACAATCCATACGAGGAAAGAACCACAACGCAAACCGGAGTGCGACCAGTAGACCTAAATCTTACCACGTCAAGGCAATGAACACATGCCAAGCCACTCTTTTGTCAGATATCCATGCCACCAGATAACAAAATGGAGAGGCTGTTTTGATTTAAAATGATGACAATGTTTTCTTTTTGACTATTTACAATTTGCATGCTTTATCGCGACACACGAGGGTGCTGCTATGATTGCATTCCACAATGTGCTTAAAGCATAATAAAACACCTCCAGATTTGCGTTTAAGAACTGATGGTATCAGTATAATTTAAAAATCCTATTTCAAGGTGTAATATACACACATACCTTACTGTCGGTGTTGATGCCCTTGTAATCTGTTGGTTTAGGTGTGGTCATATGAAAACCCCTCTCATCTTCACACTGGATACACGTATGGCCGAAGTTGAAATTCCTGTCATAACTTTCCAGTCTGAAATCAAAGCATTTGGAAATTTAGATAACAAGATTTTCAAAAGGTTAATCTTAGCCATAGTGTGTGGGCTAGGCCAATGATAGGCTTAGCTGCTTAGGCCAGCTAGACTAGTCTAACTCAAAGAGTTATACTAAAACAGGCAAACGTTATTCCCATTCCTAATGTTAAAAATGGCGGCTAATTTTAACTTGAAAAATTTTGATTTTTGTATGATTCCCAACACATTATCAATTTTCAATTGAGATGTCTAAAGAAAAAAAAATACATCAACAAACACTGGAGTAGGCTTTTCAGTCAAGGTCTGAGGTTAAACTTAGTGCCTGGGATTAAGCCTAATTTTAAGTCATAAAATTTTTTTTGTGCTCCACACAAAAATTCCTTTTTAAAATTAGGCCTAGCCAAAGGACCAGTTTAGATCTGTCACTATAAATTGAAATAGTTGCTGCTAGGCTACTAAAACTTCAAGTAGCAGCAACTATTTAATGTGCTACACATCACTTGACACCCTGCATGCCCTGTGGCTGTGCACAAACATGACAAACCTTGAGCCTGAGGCTAGGCTACATGATCATGCATGTACAACAGTACATGTGCATGAATGATGATCATGATGAGACTGGTCTGAAAATTTGTGTTTTCTCAGTAAATGCTTCAATATTTTCCCTGCTAAATTTGAATTTTTAGGACATTTCTGATGGCTGCTAAGTCATTGAAGGGACAAATTAGTGATGGCCAGATATGGGAATCTTTCCGAATGAGTTTATAAAATACAGATGATCGGCCATCAGTCATGTCAGTGGCCATGCTCCCATGCAGTATTGTTGATGTAGGCCCCTAGGCCTAGGCCTACCCTAACATGGCGCGGCCCCTAACATGGCGCACTTTGATTTTTCGCCTCTAGCACCTTGCTAACGTTAGAGCAAAAGTATTAACTGAAATTTCACAGAAAGTGAAATTTTATCAAGTTCTAAACACTCCCATCTACCTGTTACAAAGTTAGAAGAAAAATGTATTTCGGCGTGATTTTTCCGATTTTATTTCGAAGTGCACAGTGAACCCTTTGAAAATGTCCCCCAAAAATTAGAAAATAATTTTTTGACAAACTTCTAGTTGGGTATGTGAGGAGAGAAAATAATGGTTTATTAGAATTTATCAACTTTACAGAAATTTTTAAATGTTATTTTGGAAATTTTCCGAGAGTTATTGAAGTGCACCACGTACGTTCGGGAACACTCAGCCGATTTGTGCCCAATTTCCGGCCCAATTCAGATTTTGAATTTCGGATTGAAATAATTTCATGACACCGAAATTGTTCACAGACGTTCAACTTCAATAAAAAGCATTGTGCCAGTAAAAACAGTACCAGTATTTCAGTTAATGAATTTGAAGTTTGTCAACAAAGAAGTTTGGCAACAGTGATGTGGAAAGTCGGGGTAAACGTCGAAGCGCGCCACGTTAGAGAACATGACGAGTCTAGGCCCCCTATATCATGTATATCACAACTTGTACTCGTACTATGTCGCAGAACCAAATAAACCCACCTTGTGACAAGTTCATGTTTTCTTCCTGACTGTTTAGCGTTTCTTTTTCTCAGCTCTGCCCTCAGATCTTTCAAGGTCATTGAACCATAATCAGGATTAGGCCTAGCAGACATCATGACCATAGTCGATACGAGCAGATGGCAGAGATGTCGATGCGATGGCAGACGATCCGACGCACTCACGCAGCGACGTACTAATTTGCCAAAACTTTATTAATAATAGTTCCCGCGCGAAAAATTTACTCGGTAGGTCTGCTGCCCTCTATTGACGGAGATCTCAGAAAGTCTCCCATTGCAAGACGCCAGGCAAAGCCTTATACATGTAATATTAAAGCATAGTAAATGGAACCGAAAACAAATTATGTGGCAGTACTTAAAGCTACAGTCCATCATTTGTAATTTGTGCATTTTGTTCATTTGAAGCAACAAGAGAGTTCAAAATCTAATGAAGGATACTGAGCAACTAACCTGATGAAGTTTCAGCTAAGCTTCAGCTGTACATTCCGAGAAAAACAGCATTCTAAGATCTCAATTTCAAATCAAAAGTTACTGAATCATGTTTTGAATTGTTTTGAATTGCAGCTATACGCGACGTAGCGCACTGATCCGACGAATTATAACAACCGCGCGCGTGTGTGCGTCGTTCCAATACTTGTGTGCGCTGCGCTGAATAACAAAACGAACTACTAATTTAAATTTTCCTACGGTGCTTCTTAAGAATCACTGTTGGAAATGCCTTCTTTTGTTGATTTCTTCAAAATGACAACTTCCCAGAAAGAATAATTTCGCAGGGAGTTTAGTTCCCTTACTATCTTTCAACCAAGGTTGTTTTTCAGCAATAATTACGCCAGTTACTTTTTGGATGGCTGCAAATGATGGACTATAGCTTTAAAATCAACAAAAAACTTGGATGAAAGTTTACTTTTTAGGATAACATTATAGGGATATATATAATTTATTGACGTAACAGAGAAGTTAAGATTGCTTAAACAAGAAAACCAGATGTTTATGGTGCTGAACCTGGTGGATTTTCTGTCCTAGTAATACTTTTTTGTATTACTATGTAGTGACTGACTTATGTAGTTTTTTTGTTTCAAACTTGAACAAAACAATTGACGAGCTGGGTTTGAACCTGCAACCCCTGGACTATTGTTCCGGTGCTCTACCAACTGAGCTAACCAGCCCTATTTTGGCAGATCCTCAATTTGTCAACGTCTTTGTAAAAGGGGCGCAATTCAGAAGCCAAATAAATTTAGGTGTTAGTTTTGGATTGAGTTTATTTATTTGCCTGAAGCCAAGACATAAAAGTAGAAAGATCATTGTACCGGTAAGTTTGTTTTCAATAGGAGAGGTATGAGTGAATGGGAGGTTTGTGGTAGCACCATGTGAATTAAATCTCTTAGTGAGTTGTGGTTCTGAGAAGAACCAGTATGCTATTGCTCGGCATCAGGCATATTCTGATGATGACATCATTGCTGTACATTTACTTCATTTTACCCAGACTGATGAATATTCTGGCTGAATATTTTGTTGCACTCAGTGGTGCTAGGTGTACCATAACATTAACAACAGAGCAGAAAGTTACAATTCATATCAAAAAAACAAAACAAAACAAAAACTAGAAAATATATTAAACTGTTTGTACAAAGTTATTGTGTTTTGAATATATTATGTCAGCCGTTCAGCATCTGACTAAACATGTATTGTCAGTCTCTGGGTATTTGAATGTTTTGTGAGACAAAGAGCTTCTTGACTTTGTAAAAAAAAAGAAACAATTGGCAGATTGGTGGCAAGACACATACATGTAATAGTAACACAATCATCGTACATCGTACATGTGTGTATTGGACAGGTCTCTGACTGGAAATATTCATTGGCAATTGCAATTTCCACATGGTACAACAAAATTTGAAGGAGGAATCGTCATTTTTTACATTAAAAAAATATACCGTAAATAATTTCAGATGATAACATTGAGAAATAAATATCGAAAATTGATACCTTTCTGGCCGGGCCAGCCTAGCCCGTGCTGCACCGGCGGACTAAGATCAAATTTATTGAAAAAGCTACAGACCAGGTTCCATTTTATCTGAGCATGACTGAAGCACTAAAACCGCACTTTGTGGCAAAAATTGATGATTGTTGTTTCCGGAACAAACAGAATACCAAACTCATCAGGTTTTTTATTTTCAGCAACTAATTGTAACGTCAAATACCCAACTTTTTGATCGCAACTTTCTTTAACAAAAATTAGCAAGTTGCCGACATTTTATCTGTTTTAGGAGTTTTACATCATTTCTGTAATAAATTTGTTATGAAAATTACACAATGTATATGGTGACGTTGAAGAACTTATTTTCAAAAAAGGAAACAGTGGAAACGCTGGTAAATTGTTCCGACCAAAGAATACCCGTAGACCGCAATGGTGTGATCCACACTGTGCGTGACACTTTGGTGACATCTTTTTAAACCGTGGACGAAAAATACCAGAGAACAAAAGAGAACAATATCGTCCACGATTCCAAGCATACGTCCGCGATTAGGGTCATGTACAAAATCTATGGGAGTCCTCCTATGGGAGTAGTACAGTGGTGCAATTTAAGCGTAACGTTTATTTCCGAAAGCGTAGTGGGTGCTGGTGCTAGTGCCTGGCTAGAACACTGGACTCACTTCGAGTGTGGAAAATGGTTAAGTTTGTTGCAAATAATTGCAAATAGTAGGCCTACTTATTTAAAATTATCAACTAGCGAAATGGCAATAAAATGTTTCGCCTAAGGTGTTGAAGCCAAGTACATGTATGTGCAAGGGTCACTGTGCTTAAATCCAGACTGACAAGTTGATAAATAATTTGAAATCATTTTTAAGAAAACTATCTGGAATGAACTGAATGAAATGAATTTTCAATAATTTTCAAAACATTAGGCAAATAGAAATGGGTCAGTAATTGTTTAAGATAGGGTTAATCTGTGTGATAATAAGTGTGTGGTAGGCTACAGGTGGATAAAGACAAATTAAAAATGTTCCTCAAATGACCTTAGATAACCAGATTTGGTCTTGGCAGTGTCACAATCAAGCATTAGTTAAAGATGTGCATATATGTATATTTTCCCGGCCATTTTGGAAGATTGGCTTAAAAACATGAAAAATGCTGGGAAGTGGGTCCAAGCAAGCCCCACATAATACATGTATTATTCAAACAATCATGTTAATATGTCAGTGTAATACATTTTGTTTCAGATCCCTGATTGGTGCTGGAATGAGTCAATTCAAGTCTGACACTTTGAAGTTTGATATTCCTTTCTTTCAGAGGTTTCGCAATCCTGAAGACAGGTGAGATACAGGTATAATAGAATAATGAATACTCAAAAGCAATCAACCTTCATTCCAAAATATGCAGAAAACATTTACATATGTTAACAAAATAAAAATAATACAGGTCTGATTTATTCTCCTAACTAAGCTAATCAGAAAGTTTAAAACTTATGTACACAGTAAAAGTAGTCATTGGGTCACCATCATGTATGCAGATTCTCCAATGGTCTTTAAATGTTTGGGAAAAAATCCTTTACATATGATTCTGCGTGTATATGAACCAAAGAGTGTTTTTTGGTTGTGTTTTGTTTGTTTTGTTTTAATAAATATTCATCAATGCCCGAGACAGTTTACCTATTCTTATTGGTTGAGAGCTCCTGACATGGGTAGTTTTAAACCGCCATTCGTAAATACCTCAGACAGTTTACGCATTCCTATTGGTCAAGAGCCCATCACGTGGCCAGTCTTAAACGGATGATAAAGACATGGCTAGCTGGTCTTAAACAGGTTTCCAGTGTCACAATAAAATGTGGACTCCTAAAAATCCAGTGCCTCTTATCGTTTCATTGGTTGAACGTTCACAATCGTCACTTAGGCATGCGCAACACTACCAGGGAGTCAGAATTGTATAGTTCTATATTCAAAACGCAACGCGCCAGGTGCGTTCTGTGCGACATCGCGCAGAACATGATACGCGCGCGTCAATCTCCATAAAAGGGTTGTTTACATCTTACTCGCCAGCTGAACACTCCATTATTTTGCAAGAGGGATGTTTCAAAAAGCATAAAGTGAATCTGTTGAACAAAATCGGGATGTTTTGAACGAGTTATATGATTTTTTTTACCGAAAAGGTATTTATGAATGGGAATAAATATGTGCTCCGTCGGTATTTATCACTCTGTTTAAGACCACTTAGAGTCTGGGTGCTGATAATTACCCTCGCCTCCGGCTCGGGTAATTATCAGCACCCAGACTCTAAGTGGTCTTAAACAGAGTGATAAAAACCTCCGGAGCACACATTTATTCCCTTATTCATAAATACTTAAGATAGTTTACCCATTCCTATTGATCGAGAGCCCGCCACATGGTCGGTTTTAAATAAGGGAATAAATGTGTGCTCGAGAGGTTTTAATCACTCTGTTTAAGACCGCTTAGAGTCTGGGTGCTGATAATTACCCAAGCCGGAGGCGAGGGTAATTATCAGCACCCAGACTTTAAGCAGTCTTAAACAGAGTGATTAATACCGACCCAGCACATATTTATTCCCATTCATAAATACCTTTTCGGTCAAAAAAATATAATATTTCGGTAAAAAAAATCCCGATTTTGTTCACTTCATGCTTTTTTAAACATGCCTTTAGCTAAATAATGGAGTGTTCAGCTGGCGATTAAGATGTAAACAACCCTTTTATGGAGATTGACGCGCGAGTGGCACATTCTGTGTGATGTCGCGCAGAACGCACCTGGGGCATTGCGTTTTGAATTTAGAACTATAAAATTCTGACTCACTGGTAGTGTTGCGCATGCCTACGTGAGGACTGTGAACGTTCAACCAATACAACAGTAAGAGGCACTGGATTTTTAGGAGTCCACATTTTATGTGACACTGGAAAAGTGTTTAAGACCAGCTAGCCATGTCTTTATCATCCGTTTAAGACCGGCCACGTGACAGGCTCTCGACCAATAGGAATGGCTAACCTGTCTGAGGTATTTATGAATGGTTGATAAAGACTGGTTGGCTGATGTTAAACACCTTTCCAGTGTCACATGAACTTTTGACTCCTATGAAATCCAGTGCCAGTACCGTTGTATTGGTTGAACATTCACAATCTTCATGTAGGCATGGGCAATACTACCAGTGAGTCAGTATTTCATACTCTTAAATTCACACTACACCGGCACAGCTGCGGTTTGCACCACATCACACAGTACGTGCAACAGCACGCCATTTCCATAAGGAGTTGTTTATGACCACTCACAGGAGGGTCATACCATAGCATAGCGAAAGGTTATACGTAAGATAAATGTTTAAACAAATCGTTAGAATTTTATAATTTGTGACGTGATTTTGGATTGAAAAGTTTTCATTATTTTTGGACCAAAAAGGTATTTATGAATGGGAATAAATATGTGCTTGGACGGTATTAAATGCTATTTACGAAATGGGGCTAGAGGTTAGGCTCGGGCTATATTTTTGTGGCTGCCATTTTGAAGCCTCGTACGAAATGACAGGCTTGGCTATGCAATGATGCCTGAGGCTGAGTTTTTGGCCAAAATCCGAAGCCTTATCTAGCCTACCAAAGTAGTGGCTGCGCATAGGCTTGATGACATCAGTGTGTTCAATCTTTCAGCGAATCCTCTATCTTGAAAAAAACACCATAACACTGTATCGCGGTAGTGCCAGCCAGTGGTACGGTACGGCAGTATTTTTTATAGAGTGAAGCTACTTTTGCCAATGATGAACAAGAAGCAATGGTACTGTACCTGTGAAAGCCAACAAGAACTAGAGGTTCGCGTTTGTTTAGTTACAAATGCAGAGTGGTCGGGCAGGCATTTTTTTCATTAAATACTGCCAAGTTAAGTTATGAATATGTTTATGTAAGAACAAAGGATCACCAAATTAAATCCTTTCCATCACAATCAATTATTTTGTTTAAAAATGCATCATTAATGGTGTGCTAAATTTCTGTAAACATTCTATGTACACATACGAGTTATTTCTGGCTTGATGATGTCATTATTAAAAAATGCAAAGTGAATACTGATTAAGTTCGGATAAAATGTTTATTGTGAAGTTATATAACGTATGAAAATATGGAAAATAATATAAGTGTATGTATTTATAATGCCTAACTTCCGGTTTGATGACGTCACTAGTATTTGGAAGCAAAAGGTGAACATTGTAATGGATGTCGTTATTTGGGCTTCGAATATATACGACATGGATCAAATGATAGAATTCAATCTAAAATATGATCGTTATTTAAATTCTCATAGATGTAACTTCCGGTCTGATGACGTCATGAATTTGAAACCTTGCCAAGTTATCTGTGGTTAATTAAAGAATATCAAGGGGCGATTTGGTAAAATTTGAACGGACGGTTTTCAAATTAAAGAAAGCAAACTCTATTTTATGTGCTGCTAGGTCGATATACATGTATGTTGAAAGTTACAAGTTCATATATAAATCGTTTAGGAGAAACTGTGTGCTGTACGGAAAAAAAGAAAGAAAGAAAGATTAATCGTAACAACTCTAAACAGTGGTCGGGTTGTGCCCAACCACTAAATAAACAGCATAGGTCTGGAAATTCTGGAAAAGGTGATGAATTTTGATGTCTATACCGCTTGACCATCCAGCTTGAGGATTTGGTAATTTGAACCTAAAGTACATACAGGGTGAGTCAAAAAAAGCGGAACCCAAACCCCCAAAATTAGATTCTATATTTTTAAAAATATGTAGCACCAAAAATAATAATAATGACTGGAAAGGCAATTTCATAAGCTACTTTAGATGAACAAAAAATACTGAAATTGATCAATCCGTTGAGAAAATATCACTATTTAAACACAATGACCCTAAAACCTGTCTTGTCCAAAAAATTGCGATTTCAAGAATCGTCGTCGCAATGGTTTTCAAACATCACCAGCGATAAAATCTCAGTGTAAACATTAAAAATATTCAACAGAATCCCTTTGAAGGCCTGTCCTTTAAAAAAGTAGATTTTATAAATCATATTGTTTGCCTATTAACCAGGGTTGTTAATAAAGATATTGTGTACTACAGTTAGTGACAGTTGTTGAAACAAGTATTCTGTGTCATTTTCTTTGTTGTTCCAAACAGTCAAAACACACAATGAATTGCTTTTTTTGGACGAGACAGGTTTTAGGGTCATTGTGTTTAAATGGTGATATTTTTTTGAACGGATTGAGCAATTTCAGTAATTTTTTCATCTAAAAGTAGCTTATGAAATTGGCTTTCCAGTCATTATTATTTTTGGTGCTACGTATTTTTTTAAATATGCAATATATTTTATGGGGTTTGGGTTCCGCTTTTTTTTACTCACCCTGTAGCTTCAATGCTTTAGCACTCATTTTCTTAGGAAACCTATCACAAAAGAATGAAATACAATTTGTTTGAGTTAATAAAAATTGAAATCCAGCTACTTACAGCTATTCATATTTTTTTTCAGGAGAAACTTCATTTCAGCAGGTGCTGCAGCCGGTGTAGCTTCTGCTTTTGGTGCTCCTGTTGGAGGTCTCCTATTTGCCATGGAAGAGGTGTCATCTTTCTGGAGTATGAAACTATCGTGGCAGGTCTTCTTCTGTTGTATGGTTTCTACTTTTACCACTGACCTGTTCAACTCTGCGTTTCACAATTTCAAGTATCAAGGCCAATTCGGTCTTTTCAAAACACAAAGTTACATTATATTTAAGGTGAGTGAAAGAGTACTTTATAGTCAATGTTATCCCAATTTACAGTGTATGAACAAAATGCAAGTAGAGATATCCCTTTCCATACCATCTCCGTTTTGTGCGGAGTATGTCTTCCTACTTTATTCCTGTCTACATTCTAAATGCAATTTGCCATCATTTAAGTAATATTTTAATTGATATAAGATAACACCATGATTTGGACCTGTCAATGACACTGGGTCGTTTATTTTTAAATTTATTGCTTTAACTAATTATGTCATATTCATTACCACTATTTTCCCTTCTGCCTACAATAGACATTGTGAGGGAACTGTTGTTGATACTGTGCATGCAAACACTGGTTTGTATGCACACACAGTGTGCTAAGTATGAACAACTCATTGTCAACCAAGTGTGCACAAAATCAAAAGTAGTTTTCAAATAAGAGAAACAAATGGTGAAAATGATACTCAAGTACCCTTCAATAAAAGTTGAATTTTTACTGCTGAGCTCATGGGTACACATGGTGTATGTATTTCTCTTGTCATCTTAGAGTGCTGCTGATTGCAATATGTTTGGGTGACAGTCACTGCACTGATGTCATCTTCAAGTGCTGCTGATTGCAATATAATAGGTTTGGGTGTTAGCCATTATACTGATGTCATCTTCAAGTGCTGCTGATTGCAATGGGTTTGGGTGCCAGTCACTACACTGATGTCATCTTCAAGTGCTGCTGATTGCAATATAGGTTTGGGTGTCAGCCATTGTACTGATGTCATCTTCAAGTGCTGCTGATTGCAATGGGTTTCGGTGCCAGTCACTACACTGATGTCATCTTCAAGTGCTGCTGATTGCAATATAGGTTTGGGTGTCAGCCATTGTACTGATGTCATCTTCAAGTGCTGCTGATTGCAATGGGTTTGGGTGTCAGCCATTGTACTGATGTCATCTTCAAGTGCTGCTGATTGCAATGGGTTTGGGTGTCAGCCATTGTACTGATGTCATCTTCAAGTGCTGCCGATTGCAATGGGTTTGGGTGTCAGCCATTGTACTGATGTCATCTTCAAGTGCTGCTGATTGCAATGGGTTTCGGTGCCAGTCACTACACTGATGTCATCTTCAAGTGCTGCTGATTGCAATATAGGTTTGGGTGTCAGCCATTGTACTGATGTCATCTTCAAGTGCTGCCGAATGCAATGGGTTTGGGTGTCAGCCATTGTACTGATGTCATCTTCAAGTGCTGCTGATTGCAATGGGTTTTGGTGTCAGCCATTGTACTGATGTCATCTTCAAGTGCTGCCGATTGCAATGGGTTTGGGTGTCAGCCATTGTACTGATGTCATTGCTGATTGCAATATAATAGGTTTGGGTGTCAGCCATTGTACTGATGTCATCTTCAAGTGCTGCTGATTGCAATGGGTTTCGGTGCCAGTCACTACACTGATGTCATCTTCAAGTGCTGCTGATTGCAATATAGGTTTGGGTGTCAGCCATTGTAGTGATGTCATCTTCAAGTGCTGCCGATTGCAATGGGTTTGGGTATCAGTCACTGCACTGATGTCATTGCTGATTGCAATATAATACGTTTGGGTGTCAGCCATTGTACTGATGTCATCTTCAAGTGCTGCTGATTGCAGTATAGGTTTGGGTGTCAGTCATTGCACTGATGTCATCTTCAACTGCTGCTGATTTCAATGGATTTGGGTGTCACTCATTGTACTGATGTCATCTTCAAGTGCTGCCGATTGCAATGGGTTTGGGTGTCAGTCACTGCACTGATGTCATCTTCAAGTGCTGCTGATTGCAATATGTTTGGGTGTCAGCCATTGTACTGATGTCATCTTCAAGTGCTGCTGATTGCAATGGATTTGGGTGTCAGTTACTGCACTGATGTCATCTTCAAGTGCTGCTGATTGCAATATGTTTGGGTGTCAGCCATTGTACTGATGTCATCTTCAAGTGCTGCTGATTGCAATGGATTTGGGTGTCAGTTACTGCACTGATGTCATCTTCAAGTGCTGCTGATTGCAATATGTTTGGGTGTCAGCCATTGTACTGATGTCATCTTCAAGTGCTGCTGATTGCAATGGATTTGGGTGTCAGTTACTGCACTGATGTCATCTTCAAGTGCTGCTGATTGCAATATGTTTGGGTGTCAGCCATTGTACTGATGTCATCTTCAAGTGCTGCTGATTGCAATGGGTTTCGGTGCCAGTCACTGTATTGATGTCATCTTCAAGTACTGCTGATTTTAATGGATTTGAGTGTCAGTCATGGCACTGATGTCATCTTCAAGTGCTGCTGATTGCAATGGGTTTTGGTGTCAGTCATTGTACTGATGTCATCTTCAGGTGCTGCTGATTGCAATGGATTTGGGTGTCAGTCATGGCACTGATGTCATCTTCAAGTGCTACTGAGGCCAAACAAAAAAAATGATGTGTTTACGGTAACCGACCGACCTGGAATTTTTTCGGCCAAATGGCCGACCTCAAACTTTTTATTGCCATTTTGAAGGTTGATATTGATCAGTTTTAATGAACAAATTTCAAAAATTTCAAGTACCGGTACTTTTAATTATTTGCCACGAACATAGACCATTTTCCACACTAAAACTGACCATGATTTGACACAAACATACCTGTGTTAAACGTGCGAAAATCGCGACGATCTCAAAACTTGAATTTTCAAACTACATGAAGTACGATTATTTTTGCACAAACGCATCGGGGTGAACTGGTGCGCCTGGCCGACGGACGGCAGGGTTCTCCCCACGTACAAACGTGCGTACTGCGAATCGGCCTGACAAAAATGCCGATCACATTTTTCAGCCCCCGATACGCACAATATAATTATTATTCACGCCATTAAAATGCACAATATAATCGATACATACGCCATTATTTCATCTTGACATGCAAAATCTTGACAAAAATCCTGTTTTTCTGATGCATGTGTGATCAAAATGCACACGATGACGGGTTCTGTCGACTGCCAGCTGACAGGCATGCAGCGCATACAGCATGGTGCACTGGTTCCCTTTGCGTGCTAATGGAATCAATACTATAATGAAGGACCGGAACCAGTGACTACTGCCTACACAAACGTCGTAACACGATGATGTTGTGCCGTCGGCCGAAGCTGGATCGTAAAAATACCAAACAAACATCGATGGAGAAAGAGAATTTCTGCGAATTAATTCACAGAACGTGATCTTTATTTTCTGTGTATGTGTTTTCCATTAAAATGACGAGATTGCCAAGCTCGAACTCGTGGCGTAACATCGTAGCATGTTTCTGCAGTAGTGCAAGATTTTCGGCCACGTGGGATGGGCCGTACACCATGTACAAAGTGCAGTAATGCACCAAAGTGCAGTAATGCACACTGATACTGGGCCGTGAGCCCCCTTCGCGATGTACGGCCGGCCAGACTGAATGTCGGCGGCGCCAGCGGCCGTGATGTATGTTAAGCATATAGCATGTATAGTGGAATCACCTCAAAAATATTTTTTATTAGTTGAGGCAAGTTTTAATCACTTTTGATGGCAAGTCTTGATAATTTTCGTGGCGCAAATGAAAATAATCCAGGCACAAAATAAACATGATTCCTTGCTCTATGATGCTCCATTAATCAGCACCTCCACAAAATTGGTGAAATAATTTTTCCGACCTATTGACGCTATTTTGAAAGGCATGTAATCGGAAGCAAAAGGATTTTTTTCTTTACCTTAATTTCTTAATTTGAAACTTACTTGTAAATGTAATTTTGATTTTTTTCTTATAATTACAAAAATAGGGGCCTACAAGATCTCTCAAAAATTGTCGGGGCCCCGAACCCCACGCCATGGCTTCGCAGGTTGTTGAATCACAGCAAAACTTCCCCCACAGGTTTGAAAAAAATCCCGGGGAGAACCCTGGGACGGTACGAATTAATTTGGAATGAAATGTATCGATTGAGTATCTTGAATGCTCGAAAAATGTTTTTATACAAATATTTTGCGAAAGAACACACATGAGCCTGCAGAACTGAAATTAAAAAAAAAAATACAAAATAAAATTATTTCCCTACCTACCTACCTGGATTTTTTTCACACCGTTACCGTAAACACACCATTTTTTTTTTTGCCTGATTGCAATAGGTTTGGGTGTCAGTCATTGTACTTTTTGAAGTGTTGCGTTTGTGATAAGTAGTTACCGGTACTTGCTGTTTATGGCTTTTCAGTTTATCTTTGACAACTTTTTCAGCAGTCATGTAAATAGGTATCAATTTGAGCACATCCTTATTTGTCAATAGTGTTGTATATATTTTTTACTTTATAGGTTCTTGAAAGTCTTGATGTGAATATACTCATGTTTATTCCGACGGTTGTGCTGGGAGTACTTGGCGGTTTGCTTGGAGGATTGTTTGTGTTCATGAACTTGAAACTAGCAAGGCTTAGACGGGCTATCATATCCAAGGTCAAACAACATTGGAAAAAGAAAGCCCTTAAGATCGTTGAACCCTGCCTTATCATAGTAAGTATCTTTCATCCACATTAACCATCTCCTTGTTTCTTTTCACATCTTTGTGTACATTTTTTTTGTATGTGATTCCATTGATATCATAATTTTCAATAATTGATTATTAGATCATCTAACATCAATAGAAATCAATATACATCAACTTTCCTTTCATTGTATTAACATTCAAATCGTGGACCTTGACACTTGCAAACGTCGCGTACTGACGGTGTAGCATATTTGGATTGCTTTGTGAGCAAGGTCAACTGTTTTGGTCAAGTGGTGAATTATTAATGAGCTTTGTCCTCGTACAAGTTCGTGTGCGTGTGTACTCATCATTCACTTGCAAATTATATTGCAATATTCTTGCATATCGGTTGTGCCTATGTGTAAAGAGAAATGCAACATGTCAAATTATGCACCAAATCGTAGAAAAGACTTAAAACTTCACCCACAAAATGTATTTCATGAATAAATTCCTAAAAAGTACACCAAGCTAAAAAAGACGAACATAATACTTACCAAAAAATGGCAATTTGGACCAAAAATGCACAAAAAAATTCAAGTATGCACCGAGAAAAATGCTGATGACGCAGTACAAAAGTATCAAATTTTGATGCTGTTAAAACGGAATCTGTAGTATTGATTGTAAACAATTGGAAAATGATGTTGCAATACATCATGTGACCGTAATGAGAAGCTTGGAAACTAGGCGAATCTATGCATTGGTTTCTCCATAACAGTGTGACATCACTGTTGGCTTATTTGCATAATTTAGGCCTTTGTGAGTGAATTCTGATAGCGATATTTGATAGTGCATGAACAATGGAGGACAATAGGGCCAACGATTGACCTAAGGTCCTTTTTTGAGGTGTGTGGTACAAAACCTACGGGAGGTCTTCCGAAAAAGAGGTCTTCTGAGTATAAACAAAAGAGTGACAAGAGGGGGTCCGTGATAGTCTGAGTATCGCCCATTATCCACGTAGCCAATCTCCTGTATAACGTCTACGCCAGCCAATCGGAGTCGCTTTTACTAAATCGTGACGTCATTTCATTCCTAAATCAGGACTACAGTCGAGTCTCGTTAATACAAACTCGTTCAGACCTAGCCAAATTGTTTGTTATATCAGAATTTTGTATTAAGAGGAACATCAGTCCCATTCATTGTGCACATAAATGCACAGTCGGGACTAAGGCTTTATGTTTGTTATAACCAGAATTTTGTATTAACAGAGTTTGTACTAATGAGATTCGACTGTACATGGTTTGATTGGTCAATTCAAATGCAGTGTCTTGTAATACAGCAACAGCCGGTCGGGCGTGATATCGCATAACATGATACAGTGCATGTGACACATTTTTTTATGTCCATTGTCTATGACGCGCAATGGGTGAATGCCCGAAGACCCGATATAGAAAGCTGATTGGTCAAAATCTAGGAGGTCAAGAGGCGGGGTCTTGCCTAATAAATCAGCGAATACCAAATAGTTCTTCACATTGACTCTGAGTTTTCTAGGTTTGACTGATGGCATTCCTCCAGGGTACTTCATCTTAAATCAAACAAGGGGGATCATTAAATGTCATGCTTACTTTGTGACTTTATATAAACTGCCTGTCCTTCGTTATTTACGTAACACTTTAAAAAGCAATATCCACGACATTTTCTAAAATACAAAACCAGTTATATTCTTTGTAGGTGAGGATATTTGTTCAAAGATGAGAGACCAATATTCTAGTTTTATTACATGTATTAAAACTCAAAAGGACTTTTCAAATGTCACACTTTTGGGCCCATTATTGTGGAATTGCCCCAATACACATCAAAATTGGTCAAGTGAATGTTAGAATCTTGGGGAAAATATTGGAATATGATTGAAGGATCTAAACAAAATGATATGCTATATACATATAAAAGTGGAGATGCTGTGTAGCACTGTGGAGCATATATGACAAGAAGTACAAGTTTTAACAGTGCTCACAGGAAAAATATTCCTGAGCTTTCGGTGCAGTGCACCTTCTTCAGGGGCTTGTTGTCTGGTAGAACAAACGCGGTGAAGTCCTCGTTCATCCCGTCAGGTTGGAGTGTACCAAGTTGGAACATCACACGCTGTTCCAAGGATTGGCGCTGCGTGTCTGACGATGCCGTGGTAACGATGCACACGCCCATGTCCTTGGTAGAGTGTGTTGGCGCTCTGAAGTGTTGCGCGACAGCCCGGCCAGGTTGTTTAAGCCAAACATACGGAGATGCTCCATCAAGCGATCGGCCAGACGGCGCTTGGTTTCGCCAATGTAAAGCTTACCAAAGCATTTGCATGTGATGCAATAGACAAGATTCGTTGTCGTGCACTTGAAGTGGCCACTGATGCTGAAACGGCCACAGGGTCCAGTGTTGGATGATGTCTTATCAACATGGACACATGTCTTGCATCTATGACGATGGCAGGGAACAGTTCTGTAGGGGCCATTGTCTATAGTACTTGTGATGTTAGGAAGAGTAGAATGCACCAGATGGTTGTTGATGGATCAATTCCGTCTGAAGGAACAGAGGGGGGTTGTGGATTGGTCAAAGATGGCGCTTGTTGCTGGATCATCCTGCAGCGTCTTGAAATGCTTTAGGATTATATTCCTGACTGTCAAGTTAAGCGGGTGGTAAGTGAGAACAAGTGGGATTCGGTGCTGTTGCTTGGGATGGCATCTTTACACTTCTTGGGGTGAGACGACTTGTAATGCAGGTAGGTGTGAGAATTGGTGGGTTTGTAGTGGACCGATGTGGTGAGAGAGTTGCCGTTGATAGACACATCAATGTCGAGGAATGTGATGGTCTCATAAGAAATATCCGAGGTGAAGTGCAAAGCTGCGTGGGGATTATCGGCATGGTTGATGAATGCCTGAACATCTTCCTTGGTGACGGGTGTCGCACCGATGATGTCGTCAATGTACCGTTTGTACAACAATGGTTGAACTGGACATCATCTTCTCCTCAAGAAAGCTAACAAATAGACATGCATAGCTCGGGCCCATACGTGTGCCCATAGCAACGTCAGTGGTCTGCAGGTACTGCTTCCCAATAAAGATGAAGTTGTTCAGGGTGAGGACAAGTTCAGCAAGCCTGAGAAGGGTACTGGTTGGGGGGTCACAGTCTTGACGGCGGTCAAGAAAATGACATAGCGCTGCTAAGTCGTCTGAGTGGGGGATGTATGTGTACAAAGATTTGACGTCCATACTGTACAGGTACAATGTAGTTAGAAGGGCCCATGAATTCAAAGTTAGTGAAGGTATGGAGAGCCTCATTAGTGTCCTTCACATACGAGGGCAGCTGGTTGACAATAGGAAACAACACGGAGTCCAAGTACTTGGAAATCAACTCAGTGGGGCAATTGCAAGCTGAAACAATGGCCGGCCAGGATTATCTTACATGTGAATGTAAGCCAAAGGACCCTGTGGGCTAGAGTTGTCAGTTATTAAATGTGGAATGAATCAATAAAACTAGAAGTATGGAATGATCTCAAACAATCAATCTTTATTCTTAGTTATTTCTTAGAACAACTCTCAACAACAACAGTATAATAAAAATGCAATACAATGTTTCCAAAAAAAAGGATATGGTCGACCAGGCCCTATAGTTGTTTGTTCCCGGGAACTCACTCGGTGTGTGTACACTAATATTAAAGCAACTGTTCGGGACCGGTTAAGTCTGGCAGTCCTCAGTTCAAGACTGAGTCGATCCCAATAGTTCGTGGAACTTCTGAGAGTTCAGTTGACGGGTGTCAATTATTTGGTCTCACTCCACCGTAGCTCTGGACAGGCTGGAGACTATTGATGAATCCTCTTCATCCACAATCACACGACAGTCATCTAATGCTGACCTGTAACCATGGTAACTCAGCGTCTGCTGAACTCGCCGGCTCGCCGCACAGTGTGAAGCCAGTACTTGGGTTGGCCTCCGTCGACACAGCCTCTCAGCTCGTCTCTGCTGATAGGGACACGGACACTGCTACCCCAGGTCTTATGACTTAGGAGAACTTCCTCCTCGTATTCTGAGAGATTACAATTAATAGAACATACAAATCTAAGTGTTCAAGCAAAGACATTTGACTTGAAATTTAAGATGCCAAACTACATTGGTCTAAAGCAGTAAACACCATGTGTTTGTTGGATGTTTCATTTGTTTTTAAACAATAAACATACACAACATGTCAATCAACATGCACAAAAAAATTGCATGTCAAAAAAATACAAATATCAATTTAGGCATAACATCTTGTTACATAATTAGAAAGTGCTTATCACATGGATAAAAAATCTAGTGCCTGCCTGCATAAACAGAAACATAGCACAATGCATGTTTATCCCCAAAAAACAGTTCCAGAAAGTCCCAAGTTTTATAATAGGAAATTATCATCAAGTCACAGGTTTTATAAACGGAAATAATCCACTTTGGATCAGTCTGAGAGTAAATAATAAATCTATTTCTCCACTGGTAAGTATTAACAGTTCCCGATGATTTTATGCAAAAACCCTACCATAACATATTTCATTTACACATGTACATGTAGTTGGAGCACACATACACTACACAAGATTTATGTGAAAATCCCTTCCCGTGAATACATGATTGTAAGCATGAATTTAACCTCCCTCATATTCCAGTATATTATTATATCCCTTTTATGACACTCACCTGAGAGCCACAGACTGAATAAGTCACTTATAAAACACTTTTTCGAACAAATCTCTTGAACTTTTCAGAGAACACGTTGAAAAAACACGCAGACAAAATGGCGAACAATGCACGAGCACACTTTTGCCGTGCAACCCCAGAGGGCGCCATTCCACAGAATCACGGGCTACATGAATTTTGGGCAGCATATACAAAATGGCGGTTCTGGGATACGGGGTGATGAGTTGAGTCGCATTACCGGGTTGCTCACGATGCTCTGGTCCATAGGGGTGAGGTCATGGTCGATCACGTAGTAGCTCAAGGAATCTAAAAGTCGGCGTTCAGCCTCTAGCTGATACAAATCTTTACTCCAAACCACAGTAGCACCCCCTTTATCAGCTCTTTTGACAACATAGTTCTTTCTTCCTTGAGTGATCGTAAGGCCTGCCGTTCCACAGAGGAGATATTGGATTTGGTGCAGCGGGTTTAAAGTTGATACGATTGACACGATTGACATCAGAGCCACAATTGTCAATGACTCGGTTTAGGACTTGTTGAGGCCAGTAAGTGGACACCAGCTAGATGATTTGGGGACTAGTCTGTCAATGGTACTGGCAGTAGGGGTATCATCATGATGAGAAACAGATGAAGAACTCACCTCTTTGTCATGGAAGTAGGCTTTAAGGCTGGGACGTCGATAGAACATATCAATATCTCGTCGAGTAGAAAAGTAATTTTTTGAGGTTGGGAGGGATGAAATTCAACCCCCACTAAAGTACAGATAGTTGGGTGTCAGTTAAGGGTAGATCAGAGGGGATGGTAACAACCAAATGTTCCTTGCCAGAAAATGGATGCGAAGATCATTGGTGGGTTGGATGGAATCTGGGCCCATGGACTGCAGTTTTCTGTTCTTGACGGCACTTAACTCTTCGTGCAGCTCAGAATTGAGGTTGTGAATAATTCCACGAATCAAATTGGCCTGTTAGCCCGTAGTAATGGAATACAGTTGTTGACGAGCACTACTAAACTTATACCAGTGCTCACCGGAAAATGACTCCCGCCGGTATAATTTTTACTTCTTGTTATTTATGCTCCACAGTGCTACGCAGCATCTCCACTTCTATTTTTAATGAGCTAATCATTGTGATAGAAGACGATTTCATTGGATATATACATGTTTATATGCATTTTGTAAGGTCTTTAAATTAAGCAAGGAATTTTTACCCAGTTATAATTAATGACGAGGTCAAAAATCTTGGCTCGAGACATAGTTCACATCAAGTTTGCCTAATGTCAAATGATTTCAATTTCTTCATAGATTTTATTTTCTACTGCAAGTGTTCTGCTGCCTGCTGCATTCAATTGTAGCCCTTACTCGTGCTACCTAAGTGGAGAAAAACAATCGTAAGTTGTACCTGATTACATTGCCTTGGCATTTTAAAGGGGTTGTGGAATGCTCGAAGACATTTCCGTCATTTTTCGGGTATATGTAGCCCAAGGTTTGATGAAATAAAAACGACTATTGTGTCTGTCATGAAATGAGTACAAAAGGTACCTTTGAGAGCTGTTTTCAGGTCCTGATTCAACCCGAACGTGCAATTTGTGTAAAAGTTGTCGTTGGGGGCAGCAAACAAAACATAGTAAATTGTGACGTAATAAACAGGACTCCTGATGCAGCGTAGTATAAACGAGTCCTGTTTATTACGTCATGATTTACTATGTTTTGTTTGCTGCCCCCAACGACGACTTTTACACAAATTGCACGTTCGGGTCGAAACAGGACCTAAAAAACAGCTCTCAAAAGTACTCATTTCATGACAGACACAATAGTCGTTTTTATTTCATCACACCTTAGGCTACATATACCCGAAAAATGACGGAAATGTCTTCAAGCATTCCACAACCTCTTTAACCCACCAACTCTGATTGTGACAATTTTACCAAAAAAAAAAAAAAAATGAGAAAATTACCTTTGTTTTATTCTCAATGTGGTATTTTTAACATTTTGAAAAAATATAAATGGTTGTAATTATTATTTTTTTCCAAATGCAGTATTTTGCGTAATGCCAAATAAAAGGACTTACTATTTTGTTTCCTGATTTTGATTTAATTCAAAAGCACAACCTGTATTCCGGACGTATCTCTGGTATTCGACCCAATCACATGCACACAGGAGTGCTGAGCACTAACACATGATGGAGCCAGCTACTGTGGCTCATCTGGTCTGACATAATCACGGAATGGCCGCATTACGTTCTAGATCCTGTATGTTGTACAGAAGGCTTATATATGGATGTGGCATTCCCTAACGTGGCGCACTTCGCTATTTCCCCAACTTCCCTTATGCAGTGTTGCCAAACCTCTTAGTTGACAAGCTTCAAATTAATTCAGACAGATATGGGTAATATAACCTCAACAATGCTTTCTGTTGAACCCTCATGAATAATTTTAGTGTCATGAATAAAGTCTGAAATTAAAAAAAGAAACAGTGGCGTCCGGAATTTGGGCACAAAATCGGCCGAGTGTTCCCTAACGAGGTGCACAAGAAGAAATCTCAGAAACTCCCAAGTAAACATGTCATAACTTCTTGTAAGTTGACAAAGACTGATAAACCATTATTGTCTCAACTATCCAACTAAATACATGCTGGTCAGAAAATCATTTTCTTATTTTGAGGCCTTTTAAAAGGGTTCAGTGCGTACTTCAAAATAAAACCGGAAAAGCTTGCCAGAGTAATATTTATCTCTTGACTTTGTAGGGGAAAGGTAAACTCAAAACTTAGGAACGGGAATGTTTAGAGATTGGTAAAGTTTCATGTTTAATATGAAATTTGAGGTATTGTAACTTTTGCTATAGCAAAGCACTACAGGCAGAAAATCAAGGTGCTTCACATTTGGGGCTGTGCCGCCATGCGTTTTATATACCATAGGGGACATTACATGCATACAAGTGTTGTGTTTGTACAAACAAAATTTGTAACTTTAAAGTTATATATTTAATTTTATTCCATCCTCCGACCCTGCAAAATTTAATATCATGTTCGTAATTCAATAAATGAAAAAAAGTTCCAAAGAAAGGGGACCTCACCATCCCAGACAACTACCGGGGAATCAGCCTCTCTCAAACTGCTGCCAAGGTATACAATCGACTACTTCTGAATCCCATTCGCCGGAAGTTGAGAAGATACTCCGTCCCAATCAAAGTGGCTTTCGGCCTCTACGTTCAACCTCTTCTCAAACCTTGCCCTCAGGCACCTTATTGAGGAAATTCGTAACCACCAGAAGGAAGCCGCCATCATGATTTCCGCAAAGTATTTGACTCTGTTGACAGACCAACAATGTTTAAAGATGCTGCATGCTTACGGTATCCCGGAGGAGACCATTCATGCCATCAAAATTATGTATGAAGATACAAGTGCTGTTGTTCTCACTCCCAAAGGTGAATCTGATCCGTTCTCCGTCAACACTGGAGTTCTTCAGGGTGATCCTCTTGCCCCCTACCTTTTCATCATAGTTCTGGATTATGCCTTGCGGACAGCATTAAATGTCACTGATGGTCTCACTCTCTCACGCCGTAGGAGTAGTAGACACCCTGCCCAATACCTATCAGACCTAGATTATGCAGATGACATTAGTCTGCTTGCTGACACCCTCCTTGATGCCAAATCTCTCCTCCATAAAGTAGAAGCTTGCTGCAAGTCCGTTGGTCTCTCTCTCAATGCAAAGAAGACTAAGTACACGGTCATCAACCCATCTACCTCTGACGATGTCACTGCACTGGATGGCAGTAAGCTCGATAAAGTTGATGACTTCAAGTATCTTGGCTCCTACACCAACACAGCTCATGACGTCGAGTGTAGAAAAGCTCAAGCTTGGTCTGCTCTGTTCTCACTGACAAAAGTCTGGAGATCCTCGATCTCCATGACCACCAAACTTAAGATCTTCAAGACCTTAATAGAATCCATCCTCCTCTACGGTTGCGAGTCCTGGACCCTGACCAAACAGATCTCTGCATCCATTGATGTCACCTATACATGGATGTTGCGGGCTGTTCATAACGTTTCTTGGCAACAACATCTCCCTAACTCTATTCTGTATGGTGCCCTTCCCCCTATCTCCACCATCATCAGACAGCGTCGCCTTCGGCTAGCTGGTCACGTTTATCGACATAATGAGCCAGCTAGTCAAGTTCTCCTCTGGAATCCTGAAGCCCCTCAACGAAAAGGTCGTCCCAACATGACCCTGAAAACATCCATCAAGCTAGAAACTGGTCTGAGTGGTCCATCTCTTTCCAACACTATGCTCGACAGGGACAGTTGGGCCCAACTCATCAAGTCATCATGAAAATGAATGAATGAAGAAGAAAAAGAATACGCGTACATTTTCTTTCCTCGGTCTGCTATAACCCATAGAATGCTTTGCCCCTGCCAACAATACATGTATGTTATTGATATGGATTTTGATGGGGAAAAAACACTGAATTCTCTCTGCACTACGTTATACAAACAAAATGTAGTTTGAGGGTGGATAGTCAATATTAGTTCCCCGAGGTACTGGAAGTTTGCCTAGGGAACTAGTTTGTCAACTTTCAATACTGAGGGGAGCTAATATCAAGTAACTATGGTGGCCCTGAAGGGACATCACACATCAAGATTTCTGCGAAGAAATCTGCAATGTCGCACATTTTATCGCAGAAATCTGCGCAGATTTCTGCGATGTCGCACATTTTATCGCAGAAATCTGCGCAGATTTCTGCGATGTCGCACATTTTATCGCACATTTCTGCGCAGATTTCTGCGATGTCACACATTTTATGGCAGAAATCTGCGCAGATTTCTGCGATGTCGCACATTTTGTTGCACATTTTATCGCACATTTCTGCGATGTCGCACATTTTATCGCAGATTTCTGCGCAGATTTCTGCGATGTCGCACATTTTATTGCAGAAATCTGCGCAGATTTCTGCGATGTCGCACATTTTATCCTAGAAATCTGCGCAGATTTCTTCGATGTCGCACATTTTATCGCAGATTTCTGCGCAGATTTCTGCGCAGATTTCTGCGATGTCGCACATTTCGTGCGAACGAATTAGTAATTCGTGCGAACGAATACTAATTCGTGCAAACGGATAAGTAATTCGTGCTAACGAATTAGGAAATTCAAAAAAACAATTTCCACCCTGTTCCTTCCCGGGCTTCATAGGTTTGCAAATAAATTATATATAAATAATTAGGTTGCAAATAACTTTTATATAAATCTGCGATAAAATGTGCGACATCGCAGAAATCTGCGCAGAAATCTTGATGTGTGATGTCCCTACAGGGCCACCATAAGTATCCACCTGAAATTAATCATATTTGTTTTATTTTACCTCATACATATTTAGTTGCCAATTTTTCCATTGCAGGAGCTTGTCCAGCTCACCAGAAGAATATTGCTCAACCTCAGAAAAGTTCAGTTCTTGTGCAGTACAGTAACTCCTAATACAGTGTAGTTGATACCACATTGTGGACAACGTTCTTACCCCTCATCCGAGAGGCTCGAGGGGTATTGTCATCGCCTACGGCGTCCGTCCGTATGTCAGTGCGTTCTTCCGTCCGTCCGTCCGTCCGGGCAGCTTAGATTCCAGATGATAACTTGAGTTAGAAATGTTGTTTGGGATTGTAACTTCGGTAGGGGGTTGCCCTTGGGAGTAGGCAAGTTGGGATTGGTTTTGAGGTCAAAAGGCCAAAGGTCAAGGTCACTGTGGTGAGTTAAAGGTAAACGGTTTCCAGATGGAAACTTGAGTTAGAAATGAGATTTTGGTGTCTAACTTAGGTAGCGGTTGCCCTTGGGAGTAGGCAAGTTGGATTGGTTTTGAGGTCAAAAGGTCAAAGGTCAAGGTTACCGTGGAGAGTTACAGGTAAATGGTTTTCGGATGATAACTTCAGTTAGAAATGAGGTTTTGGTGTCTAACTTCGGTAGGGGGTTGCCTTTGGGAGTAGGCAAGTTGGGATTGGTTTTGAGGTCAAAAGGTCAAGGTCACCGTGGTGAGTTAAAGGTTACTGGTTTCCGGATGATAACTTGAGTTAGAAATGAGATTTTGGTGTCTAACTTAGGTAGGGGTTGCCCTTGGGTACAGGCAAGTTGGGATGGGTTTTGGGGTCAAAGGTCAAGGTCAACGTGGTGAGTTAAAGGTAAATGGTTTCCGGATGATAACTTGAGTTAGAAATGAGATTTTGGTGTCTAACTTAGGTAGGGGGTTGCCCTTGGGTACAGGCAAGTTGGATTGGTTTTGGGGTCAAAAGGTTAAAGGTCAAGGTTACCGCGCTGAGTTAAAGGTTAATTGTTTCCGGATGATAACTTAGTTAGAAATGAAATTTTGGAGTCTAACTTCGGTAGGGGGTTGCCCATTGGTACAGGCTTGTTGGGATTGGTTCTAGGGTCAAAGGTCAAGGTCACCATGTTGAGTTGAAGGTTAATGGTTTCCGGATGATAACATGACTCTGGCTGAGGGGTTTCAACAGCAACGCTGTTATTTTTGCAGACTGCTACTGTCCACAATATTCTCCAGTTCGGAGAAAATGCTAATAATATTTACGTGTGCCCGCCCCCATCTTATCATCTGTAGCTACGGCAATGTTTGCACATGCGTACTACACTTGTGCAACAGTTCCATGATTGCTTCGTAAAGCTCATGCATAGTAGACTACTGCACGGGTAAACTACACATGCACATTTACCCTGTGCATGAATTCTTGCCGGCGCATTTGGTTAACAGCAAAAATTTCATCTGGCACGTGATGGTGAATGGACCCATATGAATATGTATGAGGTATATGAGGTCTTCAACCTTAAACAATATTTTCATCAGAGTAAGCTGTCAGTTGCCATTGGCAAACATTTTTAGAATTTGACTAGTATCCTGATATTTTGCGAGAAAAAAAAATAGCCAGATATAAATCTACAACAATTCCTTGGCCTTCAGATCCCACCAACCTGCATCTTAGAAACATTAATGGGCCTATATTTGTATCTGTAATTTTTCTTCCCCTGATTATCCTATGCTTTTCGGAGTCATTACAATGTGTTAAGCATTGTGAAATACACCGTCACACACTAGGTTATCATCATCATCATCATCATCATCAATTTTGCATGCCCGGGAAGAGCGTAGCATCTCGACAACCCAGTTTCCAGTCCAGCTGGTTCTGAGCAAGTCTCCAACCAGCTGACAGATTCAGCCCCAGTGCCCTGAGGTCTTCCTCCGAATATGAAAAGGTCATATGAATAAAAACTTGTAAATGCTGGGGAGTAAAAGCAAACAGCAAGAACATTTACTTTGGAGTAAAAGCATCACAGAAAAGCAAATGCTTACCACACCAGCCGCTCCACAGCAGGGGGACTGCCCCTCAGAGGATCAATACTGGGGCCGACACCGATTTTCTCCTGATAACTCGTCTGAATTGAGAACTCGCAACTTCATAAGCAAATTGTTTAATACTAAAACAAAAACACTTGACAAAAGAATTTCCTCTTTGGACAAACGCCTGCGTTAAGGGGCCAAGGTAGCCTCTTTCCCCATCCTGTTGTTGAATGCCCTTGCTCGATGTTATGGAGATCCTTCCTTGTGTGATCCAAGTAAATTGCCTGAAATTTTTCATTTCCTGGTTGACTGGTTGGTTTTTGCGTCAATGAATTTCCATTGAGGATTGCTACAGCTTCCTTGCAACAACGTTCCCTTGTCTTGGACAATTTGTTCTTCCCATAATTTGGTTCTGAGGATCACCTGCAAGATCTTCCATTGGGAGGTGGTGATCTTTTTGGCAACAGGTTTGACGAGACAATGATAAAAGAGGCCAGACGTCTAAAGGCCAAAGACAAGTTGGATCTTCGTCGACACACGGCCAAACGCCCTTCTACTTCTGTCGCCTCCCAGTCCAGTAAGAAGAAACCACGGCCTGAGTCATCTGAGTCAGTCTTCTTCATCTTCCTCAAACTTCTTCAGGATACAGCCCCCATATCTGCACAGCTTTTCAAGTCCTAGGAGTCGCGCACGGGGTAACAAGGGCTTCTAACTGCTGCAGAGTATTTTATCCCCCCTGCTTCAGATCAAGTAGCAAGTCATCTTGCAGGGTTCAGCCAGAGGTGGTCTCACATAACCTCAGACATCTGGGTTCTTCAGACAATCTCTAGACTTCTCTATTACCTACTCAATGACCATCTCCTATTCCCACAGATCTGACATGCTGGGCTGTTTTAGAGGGCTGCTTCAGAGAAGGATATCAACTTCCTGAGGGACAAGAATGCCATCATTCTACTCCCGGCCGGGTCCACTCTTGGCATTGCACATTTAAGATGACTTCACTTGACCCATGATGACGTCATCATGATGTCACTCTTTGGGACACAACTTTGCTATAAGGCCTATGCAATGATCTCTATATAAAAACTGGATAGCGTATAGAAAACCGCAGAAGAAAGCCTTTTGAAACCATATTGGTGATCTACAAAGGACAGGTTGCCGTCTTTACAGGTAGCATGATTCACTTTTGTAAGTAGTTCACCTGATTCAAATTTTGACCATCACCACTGACCATAGTTCAAAATCTTCAACCGTTGTGCTCTGCTTTTTGAATGCTGCAGTTCACTTTTTTTGCGGCGTTTTGGAAATAATAATCAATACAGAAATGTGTCCTTTGTAGAACATCATGGGCCATATTCACAAGTTCGCTATTTTTGTAGAGTTCCCTGAATGTATTTCATTAATTGTTAACTTTTGAATGGGATGGCGCCAGACTTTTTATGCAGGCACAATGCCACCTTATTTTACTGTCATTTTTCATTTAAATATGGCTTTAAACATTAGGGAATGTTTAATTACAAATGTTAAAGTATTCATTGAACCAGACTGGAATTTATTATACATTAACTTGCTTTCATTTCTCTTCGCAAGTTCCAAAAAATGACATTTTTCCTAACTTTCAATTCAATATGGCCGACTCGTGAATAAGGCCCATAATACGTGTACAAGACCAAAATGGGCGTCAACTCTTGATACAGTGCGCGCTGTATAATACGCGAAGAACGTTCGTATTATACCTGGCAATCTTTGTGAGACTGGGGACAAATTGGTCAATATGCAAAGTCTACTGTGTGACTGGTGCATGGGCAGCCGCTATCCAATCTTTATATAGAGATCAGTGGGCCTATGCCTATGCTAACTTTGAGTGGTGTATGACAAAGATGAATGCCAAAAGTTACATCCACAAAAGACGTGTGCAAGGTCTATGGGATATTGCATGGAACACAAAGAAGAAAAAAGAAGAAGGAACAAAAAGAAAAGCAAAAATCGCAAAAAAGCCAGTATTAACAGAAATGAAAGCTGTGCCCAATTGAAATTGGGACTACTAATTAATTTTTAAAAAGGAAAAAGTTTAAAAATGTAAAGAACTGCTTAATGTCTTTAGCAGTTAGTAGAAAGAAGGAAAAAAAATATTGATCCAAAACATATGCACTAAAAGCGTAATATAATATCCTGAAAGATGCATCAAAGATAAAATTTTGTCAAAAATGTCTGATATTGTGAAATATAAATTTTCATTCCTGTAATGTAGACATCAACTGTAACTACTAGGTATAAAAACTTTGTTAGAAATTACAACTATCTGTACTAGAAATAGATGGTTCTGTGGTTCTATTTCTTATTTCAGCCCTCAGTCCTACAGCCCTAGATGTTTAGTGGAAGAAAAAGGTAGTCAGACTGAGGTGGATGTCAGTTTGTACACATGTTCACCTGGAATTGTTATCAGGGATGAAAATGACAGCATTGCGTTCTCAAACAAAACCTTCAATCAAGGTAGGGAACATAAGCATTTAACCTTTTTTTTTGAAGTAGTGCTTTAATTTTTACACTCAACATTCTCTGTTTTACAATGGGTTGTAGGATAGCTAAGGAGCTAATCTTTATGTAATTCTATTTTAGGATCACAACATGTTAATGCATAAAGTATCTGAGTATTGAATGGTGAAATTTATCCTAGTACGTGTATAACAAATTGTTCAAATTTCTGTAAATATTACTTTAGCAGGCAGGAGAATCATCCTGTATAAACAGGAATTATGGGGCTTTCTTGCCTGCTTTCACATCTTTTTTTCCTGTTTTTGCACAGGTTTCCTTTTTTCATTGAAATTCATTCTTATGCCTGCTTTAGTGACCTCTTAATACCTGCATTTCTATTATATACTAACAGTGGAAAGAAAAAGTAAGCTATGGGCTTTGTGCACCAACAAAACAGGGCACTTTTGAATACTTTTGAGAGCCCCACGGACGGGATACACTGCGTGTGCATAATGTACTGGTTGGTACACACGTCTGTTTAATTATCCTGAATGAGCCAAAGCTAAGCCAAAGCGTCTTCGCGTGATGGAGTGTCAGGCGTTGTTGGCGCACAAATGCATTTGAATTTCTCTTTCGATGGTCTCCCTGACTTATCCCCACCCCCATTACTCTGGATACAGTCTAAGACAAGTCTCCCTTAATTTTTCTTTTCTGGCTGTTGAAGTGGTACACGGGTATCATTGAAACCACATTTCTTAAAAGATGATATATATAATCATTCAAACATCATTGCAGACATTAATGCCTTACTGGATTACTCTTTATCTGCAGTTGCTACTTTGCTTTTTCTAACTGGTGAAGAAGCCATTCAACATCTCTTCTCAAGGCAAACTCACTGGGAGTTCAACTATCTGCCGCTTATGACAGTTTTGATTTTGTATTTTACTATGGCTTGCTGGACATGTGGCTCAAACATCTCATCAGGTCTCGTTGTACCAATGCTGTAAGTATGCCCTCTAATGCAATTTATTGTCAACAGCATACATAGACAAGCAGAAATTCTTTGGAGTTGTTTTTTTTTGGGGGGGATTGTTATTTCAGGAGAGAAAGTCCATAAAAGGCATGGCTGCAAGTCCCATCATTGACTGCTCATCTACAGAAGTATCATTTGGAAAAGTTCCTTTTTACAACCACCTTTGTTTTGTTGTACACTGTTTCCATTTGATCGGGGTGTCCTTTCTCACTTTTGCCTTTGTGGAAACACTTTATTCATTTATACTTACAAAATGATTTTCCCCAAATTGGACTGGAGATTTACTGCAAAAACATTTATGTACTTTTTTTTTCCCCGACAACATTCATTGGTGTCAGAATTGGATGGATGGAGCTTACTTCCAATGGGGTCTCTTGGTAGAAGAAGTAAAAGGTCATTACAGTTTAGTGATGGGAGGAAAACCCAGAGTGATATTCTAGGGAAAACCCATGGAATCAAGCAGGGACTGAAAGGCCAACCCACATATTGGGCTTGGCAGGATTCGAACCCGGGTCACAGCGATGGAAGGCGAGGAAAGTACCCCTACACCTGATCTTTGTATCACATGCTGTGATACTGTGCTGTTTTCAGAACAAACAGATTCATAGAATAGATAGGGCTTCATTACTGTTGCTCTTATCTTCAAAGGATGTCAGTAGATATGTTATGACATTCTTCATTTTTGTTTTTATCCCCCTGGCTTTTAAGCCAAGAAAGGGGGCTCTTGCTAAAGCGTATTCCTTCTGTGTGTCCATGTGTATGTGTGTTCCATTTTGGTTAGGTCAACTGTTTAGCGCTGTCATATGTAAAGTCAGACTTTGATATCAACCAAACTCAGTGACAATAATCTTTGGATAAGGGAGACTTCAGATGACTTGAGACATTTTAGGTCAACGGTAAGTACTGCCAGCATGCCAGGAGATCACGGAAGTTTAAGTTGCAGTATTTTTGCATTTGTTGTCTCTTAATAGATTCATTGGAGCACTGTATGGACGGATCATTGGTATGCTGCTAGTATCTATGTTTGGAGTGAAGTCCATTACAACTGATGAATATTGGGCTTGGATGGACCCTGGGGCTTTTGCCTTAATAGGTGCTGCATCTTTCTTTGGAGGTGTGTCCAGATTGACAATGTCTCTTACGGTTATAATGGTAAGTACATGTATGTTATAAATGGAAAGTGAGTACAGTGGAACGTCGCTATACCGAACACCGCTATACCGAACATTCGGCTATACCGAACATCGTCCTTGGCTCCCGATTTTTGTGTACAAAACCAACTGAACATTGTTGTTGAAAACCGTCAAGAGAAGAGCGACAAGTGGCTATTATTTCCCCAAGGCATAGAAGGGGAAAGCCACCCATCGATATAGGTAGTAAGCTCAAAACTGTGTAATTGCATAATTCAATAGTCGGCACGTGTTCAAAGTTGTTTTTCAGTAACTACCAGGGCGTGCAGGGTGAAGTTATGAAGGGCGCCATTTATTGAAAAGTGAGTACCGGAACACCGGCAGCTTAAAATCGCTATACCGAACGATCACTATTACGAACCTTTTCTGTGGATCCCGCAATGTTTGTTATAGCGACGTTCCACTGTATTCTAATCAACATGTACATGTACATTGGTCTCCCCATTTTTTTTTATCTCAGAGCTTTCCCTAAAGATTAAGCTTACTTTCTTGAGATCATGAGACTGCATTTTAGTGAAAATGCATATCTCCTTAGGATGGGTTAAAACTTCATTTGTGAAAGTGGTTTTTGCAAAACCAACATTTCATCACAGAAAAAAATTAATACATAGAATCATCTGTATTTAGAGCTGCCATCTGGTACGGATTTTCTGTATTTCGTATGGAAATTCACGAAAAAATACAGAAGTACAGATTTTAGTGTGTAAATGCTGAATTTGTAAAATCCAGTCATAATCTTCTGGCATACAACTTTTTTTCTTAAACTTTGGTCGTTAAAGAAAATGTGATATTACCGCACATCCGTCTTGTTTCCTGCCGTGGCACAGCAGAATCTTGCCAATTGTTTTGTATTGATATAAAACTGTTAAAAAAGTGTAGGACACTTACTCCGTTCACATTCTTCAGCATACATACAGTCGGGCCAAATAAACATGTTGCTGTAGTGCCCTCTATCTAATCTGGGCTATTAGTCTAGTTCAGTGGGGTTTCTCCCCATATGTACCTATATGAATGCTTCACGATACAGACGCCACTGCACGTGGAGGGAACTCGTTGGAATTTCATGACATGCCATAGTGATAAGTGTACAATTTAATTGTTGAATTTGACATTGTCAACATGCAAACTATATGTTAACCCTAACTCCCTACTGTCTTTTACTAAGTATTGGACCAAGTCCACCAAAATCCATCAATCACATTGCTTTCAATGCATGCTTTGCTTTAGGGCCTAAGGCCCAAGTCCATCATACTCCATCAATATTTAGTCACACCAGGCCTGTAGGACAAAGTCCCCCAAAATCCACCAAAATGGAGGGATGGATTTTGATGGAGTTGGGGTGGTTAGGGTTAAAGTAAACATCGATGGAGAAAGAAGATTTCTGCAAGTTAGTTCACAGAACTTGATCTCTCTTGTCTGTGTATTTATTTTCCGTGTTCATGAATTTATTTCGAAGTTGTATCGGCAGTTTTAGCTGTATAGGCTTCTTCTGGCAAGTTAGGCCTATTCATCAATTTGAAAATATTGAGTTTGGAATGAAAATACAGATTTCTGGTTTAGGAATACTGATTTTGGAATTTGGAGGTTGGCAGCTCTGTGTTTTCATTCAGCCATGCAAACTTACAAATCATATACTCTTTGATACTAATTAACTCCTTAATCTACAGATGTCTTCTGCCTAAAACTTTTCATTCATTTTTAATTACTCTGCAGTTTAAATTAGTGTTCTTTAATTATTCATCAAATCTGGCATATCTGTTATGCGTTTCAAAAGATTGAAGTGACGTTGCACATTGAGCAAAACTCTACAGCCATGCTGATGCTTTGTTAATAAAATTTAAGTCATAAAAAGCTTGAAATGTAATTTCATTGGCTATTGTGGTATTTCACAGTGTGCATGATAAAATCCTCAAAAACTACTTTTTATTGCAAGTTCCATTTTGTCTTTTTGGCAGATGGAGATCACAAATGATATTCAGTTCTTACTTCCAATTATGGTGGCAATAATGATGGCCAAGTGGGTAGGTGATTTTGTCACTCATCCACTCTACCATGCCCTGCTTGAGGTCAAGTGTATTCCCTTTTTAGATGCCGAACCAGTCATTGTACACGAGGGCAAGAGGTAAGTTTGAAGCTACATATTGTACGTTAATACCTAAGGTCATTCAATCACCAACCTATAATGAACAAGTGATCATGGGGTAGAAAGAGGTTGGATGGCAGGATGCTAGTGGTGATGGCCCCGGGTTTGTACAGTACAGGGTGAGTCAAAAAAAGCGAAACCCAAATGTTGGGACTATTGTTTTATTGAAATTTTGCATGTAGCACTTTCAAAATCTAGGATATGAAAGCCCAATTCATAAGCTTTCTTTTAGTACAAAAATCATTCAAATCACTCATGCACTTTTTAACTTACTGAATTTTAAACACAACCACCGTTTTAACTTACTGAATTCGGATTACAAAAACGGTGTGAAAACAATTCACACATATCCGTATGTGAATTGTTTTCGTTTTGCTGAAAGTACACTTACCTTTTTGTAATCCGTGGACAGAACTTCAAAACAGATGTTGTGTTTAAAATTTGGTAACTTTAAAAGTATATGAGTGATTTGAGTGATTCTTGTACTAAAAGAAAGTTTATGAATTTGGCTTTCATATCCTAGATTTTGAAAGTGCTACACGCAGAACTTCACTAAAACAATAGTCCCGACATTTGGGTTTCGCTTTTTTTTTACTCACCCTGTATTACAGAGTATTATTTTTGTCAGATACTGTTCTTCTATAACAATGGTAAACTGAGCAGGATTGAGATTATTCAGATTTAACTGGTGATATTTAAAGGCCTAATCATGCTTTGGGCAGCGATTGCCATTTGGGCCTGGTTAATGGGTAATTGCAGAATATCAAGCCACTTGAAATACCTGGGCCTACCATATGATGGCCATATATATGTTAAACATGTATTCAGCAATTACAGATACATAAATTGATAACACAATTCCATGCTCATTTGGTTACTCACATCCAAGGCCCTTTCTTTGGTTGGCTGCTATGTCTGTCTCTTCCCCCGGTCCTCAGTTCCATATCACAAAATACTTATGGTCTTCGAGGGCATTGGCGCATGCCATCTTAGTCAAAATGTCTGGAACACAGAATGTCTGAAGCGCTTTCAGCCACTTTGTCCTTCATCTGGGGATATCAATCATATGTTTTTTTTTTTTTCAGTTTTAAAATATGGGAAGAGCATTCAGCCATGAAAATCATCTTTATAGAGGATGATAAAAGAGACTTTAAAAATTTCTGCTTGCACATACTGTTGTAGAGAAATGTTTCGTTTTTCAAGCCGGGAATTTACGTATAATTTTACTTCATCCATTAGCCTATTTGAGACACAATAGGAGGGTAAATACAAAAGAGTTTACCCCAATCAAACAGCGCCCTCCGATTGTGTCTGCCATATCTCAAGTAGGCTAATGAATTCATGTCAACCATCTCCCATAATGCAGTGGTTGTGCACTGTATTGGGAATCATTTGTGTTGGCCACTGTCCCTCCAAGCCTTCATATTTTTGTTTGTATGTAGTTCTCTGACCATTCTGCTTTGATGCTTGTTTGACTGCAGTGTCAACTTAGAACTATTCAAGACCAGTGATGCCATGGCAAGCCCAGTCCATGTGTTGCACAGCAAAGAATCTGTCAGCACTATTGCTCAGCTACTTCTAGACACTACTCATGGTGGCTTTCCTGTGGTGAAATCTGGCTCTGGTATGGAGAACCATCAGTTCATTGGACTTATAACGAGGTAAATGAAATTTTAAAAAATGGGCACTTTCTTGGTAACTTGCGTTTCTTGTGCTGGAAGTCTTCTTTAAACCAGTTGATGTTATTCTAATAATGCACAGCATTTAGGTTGGAGTTTCCTCACAGGAGATCTCTTGCTGTTAAGTGACTAAACTGCAACAAGAAAGTCATTAATTAAACTTTTAATTGGTTTGGCAATGCTTTTTTATTGGTAACTCGCATTCTAAAACCTTTGGAAAAACCTTTCAAATGCTTTAAAGGTATAGTCCATCATAGTGCATTTTGTTCGTTTGAAGCAATAAACGTGCTCAAAATCTAAAGAAGGACGCTGAACAACTAACCTGATGAAGTTTCAGCTCAGCTTCAGCTGTATATTCCGAGAAAAAGGCATACTAGGATCTTGATTTCAAATCCAAAGTTGCTGAATCATGTTTTGATTTTGGGGTGGCATGGGTGGCTGGTGCGTAAAGCGCTCGCCTCTCACCAAGGTGACCACGGTTCAAATCCTGGCCGTGGATCGCATGTGAGTAGAGTTGTGCATTGGTTCTCTCCTGTGCCACGAGGGTTTTCTCCGGGCCCTCCGGTTTTCCTCCCTCCAGAAAAATCAAACACTTTCGATCTCAGGCTGTGCTCCGTGGTCATATGGGTCGATGTGGCCGGCAGCTATAGGCGCCTTTACGTGCCAGCAGCCCGACCACATTGCAGCCGCGTCCTTCGCAATTCAGCATACCAGCTGCGAGTAAGGATGATTAGCCTCCCAAATTATTATTATTATTATTATTATTATTATTTGGGCCCGAATTCAGCATCCGAGACACGTTCTCACTGAGCATTGCTTATAACAAGCTTGAATTTCGCTTATTAGAAGTATTTTCACCAGCCCGATGAAGAACTTTGTATTGTTTGTCTCATGGTTAAAGCGAGCATGCAAGATTTTGCTCTCCCCACATGGCATGATCAATGTTTCATTGTCATTTCCTCAACCCTACATAAAGTTTATACCTGCAGGAATTCTGCGGTTTTCACTTACCCCAATCGAGCTGGTCGGCACACCACTTTATGTACATGTAGTTTCTACCATATAATCCAGGCATCACACACCTTTGTTATTTCTACCAGATGTGCAGCCAGCACATGCCTTTGTGGTTTCTTATAACGAGCTGGGTGGCGCTTGCCTTTGTCATTTCCATCAGACAACCCAGACAGCACATGCCTTTGTAGTTTATACCAAACACCCAGCTTTCTGGGTGTTGACGCATTTTAAGGAACAGATATTGTGTACATGTACGTCACAATAGGGGCAAATTATTACATAGAGTAAATTGATTGACGTAGTCTTGAATCACGTGTCAGGGGTTTCTTATGTCTCATACACATTATTGTAATTCTGAATTCATGATATATGGAAGATATTTTCTGAGGTACCTGATTCTGATTATCGCATAATTTTTGAATTACACTACCTTCAGTATGGCTTCATCTTCATCAAGAACAAGCTCAAGTGTTTATCTCTCAAGACAAAAATTTAGATCATCAAGGCCATGGATTCCGGGCGAAACAGGCTGACGTGGGGAGTGAATTTGGCAACCATCCTTATGAATCGGGCGGACATCACTGTCAAGTTCGTCTAAATTTTAATCTTCAAGAAAGCGACTTTGTGCCGGCACTTACGAGGATGTGGAAGGTTTATTTCGTTGGTTTCGTGGCATGCAGGCCAAAAACCTTCCGAAGAGGAAAAGCAAGAGGAAACATCAAGTAAAAATCTCCCTGCATCAACTAAAGACTGTATCAACATGAAGCAAAAGTTTCAGCAGTACCCCAGCAGACACAGAGACATGGACGATGAAGTCTACCAAGCAGCACCAAATATCATGGAGTTTCTCTCCAACGTTTGGCGAAGCAACCAGTCGGGAGCAAGATCACATATTTCTTTAAGATTTGAGCCATCAAATCAACCCAAACAGCTGTTTTCAGAACACAGGTTGTTCAAGTTGCCATGTTCAAATAATTTTTAATCACATAAAACGGTTTTCAGAGCCACCCCACTCCCCCCCAAAAAGAAATTAAACTTAGATAGATGTAGTATTTCATTCATTTCAATAAGTCCGAACTGCTCTTTCAGAGCCACACCCCGTTAGAAAGAAAAAAATTGTGGCAAGTTGCTATATTAAATTTATTTTAATCAATTTAACACCCCCCCTCCCTCCCCCAAAGAGAGATTAGACATAATATTAATTTCAAATATTAAATTTATTTAATAAACAGCTAATTAACATCACCTTGTGCATTATACCTTCAAAATAAGTTAGCCATAGTTTTTAAGGGGAAAAATGCAGCGCAATTCAAAATTACAGTGATTAACTAGACTTATGCATGTACAGATACAAGTAGAATTTCCATCCAGGAACGATACTTCTGTAGATATTGTTATGTGTACAATTGAAGGTGGTGTTCAATACTATGTGTTTACATTCTCAAAGGCCTTTGAATTATACATGTTCAATGTGACTTTACATGACAGGTGATGACATCATCATGACGTTACCTCAATTGTCATCTATAACACATCCTGGTTCAGGTACACACCTACAACCGAATCGGACCTGTAGTTATTTAGATGTATGCCTTAGAAAAGTGTACCTTTAATGTGACATCACATGTCACGTGAAGACGTCACTTTAATCCCCATTTAGGCACACACCAAGCTACAACCAAATCGGACCTATAGTTCTGTAGATAAAGGCCTTCACAAAAATGCACCTTTAGTGTGACGTAGCATGACATGTGATGACGTTGTCATGACGTCAATGCTCGGCACGCATCTGCGGTGCTGTTTTATGTGTGCCAAGTATAGAGGCAATCGGATTGATGTAAGTGCCCAAAATGCAGAGAACAAACAAACATGCACAAATGCTATGGGCAAAATGACTGAATAAGAAAAAAAAAGACCAGAGACAAATCTTAACGAAAACAAAGGCTGTTTGTTTTTGTTAATATTGTGTCATTAGGCAAAGTGCTGTGCCAGGGCATCTTCAATCTTCGTCAACTATAAACACACAAACCTTTATACACAGATGTTTCCCACTGTTAGTAGATTTGCTGAACTGATCTGGAGCTGTTGGCAATGCTTCACATGGTCCAATCCAAGGGCGGATCCAGGGGGGGGCCAAAGGGGGCCATGGCCCCCCCCCCAAAACGAAACCAATTTTTTTTTTTTTTAATGTGACATTGCAATAAAGGCAGGCAATGAGTACACCACCATCTTTTCCTCAAAAAAAATTGGTTAAAGTGGTCAGAAATTGCCTCAGATCGCACCACAGAGCATCTAGAATCCAAAAAATTTTCGGGGCCCTCACGGGCCCCGAACCCCACGCCGTAATTTTTGAGACTCACTTTTTTTGGGGGGACCAAATTTTTTTTTGGCCCCCCCCAAAATTGTGTTCTGGATCTGCCCTTGGTCCAATCAGGTAGAGGCTGTGCTGGGCATCGCTGTGCACAATAAAGACATTTTCAAGACAACTGCATGGATTCCATCAATTCCTCTAGCTGTTGAGGTGTCAAGATGACGGATGACATTAGCCACCGTCTTAGGTGTGACAATAATTGTTGAGGGGGTCAGAGGGTTAGGATGGCCGGGATGGAGGGGGAGAAATTGAGCCTCTCCCTAACCATTAAATATCCCATATGGCCAGCGTCTCAAATAGCCTCTCCTAACCAAACTCCTACTGCTTGGCTTCTCGTGCTGACCCCTTTTATAAAACCGACGGCAGAGTTCTGAAAGGCGAGTTTCTGGCGCCTCAAAACCAGATTGCTCCGGGTAGGTGGAGCTTGTCAGACTTGGTCGTCAGTCCATTTAGGAGAAGGACAACTCTGATCGCAAACCCGGGTAGGTAGTACTCGTTAGCCTAGGTCGGCAGTCTACCTAATAGAATGGCTTCCGATCATAGTGCATTCCCCAGTCATGGGTTAAATGGCACAGTGAGCCGCCTTTTGGTCGCCTGCCTATAACAGCTCGCTGAAGTCTGGTTTGGCCTCGCCTTTGTACTATGGGCTTCCCAGCAGCGCCTTGAGGGAGGCGTGTTTTCAGGGCGGATCTTCAGGCGCTGAGAAGACTCTGGCCACCCCTGCAGCCCCTCCAGCCGCCGGTCGTCCTGACTCTGTCATGCCATCGGTACCAGCTGTTGGTGGTCAAGTTGGTGGTGCTGAGGACTGCGCACCCTCTCCATCACCCTAATCTCTTCATCGCGCAGGTTTCTCCCCCTTTCAATTACTTCTTATTCTATCCCTCATTACTCTTTCGCTTTTTATACAAAATTCCTGCGGCCACAGTTGGGCCGGCGACGGGGGCAGGTCCTGGATGGGACTGGCGGCCCCTAACCTGTCCGCCGCACGTATGGCAGCGCAGACGTGATGGTCGTTTGGGGCCGGGATGGAGCGGCGTCCCCATTCGGCAGCTGTCCGCGCGACCGAGCAGCCCTTTTTAGGGTCCGCGCTGCTCGCCTCTCTCCGAGGACGGGCCTAGAAAAGGTGGCTCAAAAAAACGTACGCCTCGCCTCTTCCTGGGTGGGTAGCCGCGCCCACCAGGACATCCCTTTTTGCGGCCGAAACAGAAGACAGAAAACTAAACTTTGCCCGCATCAGTCGGCACATTGCTATAAGATCGCTACTTGGAATGTTCGCACGCTGATGGACTCCAAGGTTCCCATAGCCAGTGATCATCCTCCGTGGCGTACAGCCCTCATCGCGGCCGAGCTCAGACGTTACAACATCGATATCGCCGCGCTTAGTGAAACTCGTCTTGCCTCAGAGGACTCCCTCACTGAGGTTGGGGAAGGGTACACCTTCTTCTGGAAGGGGCTCCCAGAGGAGGCCGCCAGGATCCACGGTGTGGGGTTCGCCATCAAGTCATCCCTTCTCAGTTGCCTACCAGAGGCCCCTGTTAACCTGAGCGAGCGGCTCATGACTCTCCGTGTCCCTTTGGCAGCCCGGAGACACATTACC